GGGGCTGGGCCTGGGGGGCGCGCAGCCGGGGCGCAGGTGAGGCCCCCTCCGGTCGGCTCCCGCCGGCCCGCGCGCCCCGCGCCTCTTCGCTTGCCTTGCCTTTCCCCCTTTCGCCTCTTTTCTTTCCTTTCCGCTCTTTTCCGTGGCCCCGGGATCGAAGCCAGGCCGCTGCGCGGAGCTCCTCCCGGCCTGGGCACAAGTTTTCTTCGGGCGCAGGGTCTCGCAGGGCTTGAGCTTGCGATCCTCCTGCCTCAGCGTCCGGGGCCTCGGCCGACCCGCCTCTGTCCCCGCAGGAACCGCTGCGCCCACATCGTGAGCAGGAACGTGAGCTGCGCGGTGCTGGACGGCAGGGAGAGCTTCGTGCAGGCGCAGCCCGGCTGTCCCTGGGGCCAGGCGCCCTGCCCCGCGGGGCTCGTGTGAGTTGTTTGGGGCTCAGGGCAGGGGACTGGACGAAGGCCGTGGCGCGGCCGCTCCTTGGGGTTGGGACTTAGGCGCGGGCCGCCGGATCCAGTGGAGCAGGGACCCCGAGCGACCTCTTTGCGTGGCCTCGCCCAAGATGAACCGGCTCACGAATGCGCCTTTTCACACTCACAGGCGCCGTGGCGCACTCCCGCCAGCTTGGCACTCAGGAGGCCGAGGCAGGAGGGTCTCTGGGAGTCTCAGGCCAGCCCTGGTGACACAATGAGACCCTGACTCAAAACACAAACACGCGAACAGAAATCTGTCTGGGGGTTTGCCAGCAGCAGTCCTCAGAGACAGTGAGAAGCTCGAGCCATTTTGCTTATAAAAATTTTAGCATCTTGGAAAAAAAGAAAAGGCAGGAAGCTATGGGCACAGAGCCGATGACCGGCATCACGCATACCGCTTGTCACCAGCAGCCTTGGCGGCTGCGGAAGCGGACATTGAGTGGGCAATGCGGATCTGTGGTGCGGGGACATGTGACCGGATTGTTTCCCAGAAGAATGAGCTGTTTGTCTGGGCGGGCACAGTTGTCATTGTGGGGATGGACGGCTCCTGGCCCTGGCAACCAAGTCCCAGGCAGAGGATGCCATGGCCTCAACATGGAGTGAGGTGGTGCCCGGCTTCTGGGAGTGAGGTGGTGCCAGGCCGTTGGTGGCCAGGGGAACGCGATTCCAACAGGAAAACTCTGCCTGGCCTCGGCTTCTTCCCACCTGGAAGAGGCCGGAATCAGTCAGAGGGGACACGGCTATGCTGTCCCCTGATCTGGACAGTCAGCCTTGTGTTCTGCTTCATGAGACAGGGTGGTCTTGAACACAAGGTGTAGCCAGGCTGGTGTAGAATTCACTGAGACCATCCTGCCTCAGCCTGCCCCAGGACTGGGACTCAGGTGTGAGCCGCCAGCCCAGTGTGGTCAGTCGGTGGTGGCCCTCACAGTGATGGTCGGCAGTTGGCTACAGGATGCCACTGAGGTCTGTATGCTGTGGGCAACTCTCAAACACGGCTGAGCACAGTCGGATAGATTTGCTTGGGATCAGACCCACTCGGGCCAAGTTGTTGGGAGCATGGGTTGATTTTGGGCAGAGGTGGAGGGTTTGGGGTCAGCCAGGCTGTGTGGACGGGCCCCTGTGCTGCTCCGGCATCCTGCTTTTGGGTAAAAGGGGATGCGCTTTGATTTCCCAAGTTATTTTAGCTGCTTGGAAACCAGATGATCTAATCAAAATATTTAAGCAAACTGAGGTGAGACTTGTGTCCAGGGATGCGTGTGCGTGACCCCAGGTAACGGGAGGCGGGTGGCTGCATCGCTGCCACCCAGGGAGGAGAAGCTGCAGATGTTTCCCTTGTTCTGGAAACTGAACCAGGCTTACTGAGTGGGGCAGTTTTCAAAATAAAAACCACGTAGCAACTCAGGTGCAGTAGGTGTGCCGCTGATGGGGGAGTAGCCCAGATTGGCCTTGAACTCTCTGAGATCCTCCTGCCTCAGCTTCCCAAGTGCTGGGATGACAGGGTACCTGGCTGTGCCCGGAAATGGATTGTTTCCCTATATTTGCATACTGAGAAACCAAATCTCTTGGAAAATTGCTCTGCAGTGAGGACACTTTCTGACTGCTCATAGAAAGCTTTGTAGGATAGAAGGAGTTCTGTCTCTTTTTTTGTTTTATTTGCAATGGGGGCTGCCTATGTAGTTCAGGCTGGCCTTGAACTCACTATGCAGTCCAAGCTGGCCTGTGACTCACAGTGACCCTCTTGTCTCAGCCTCCCCAGTGCTGGTGTGACAGGCATGCGCCACCATGTCCTATGCTGCTTTGGGGGCTGCTGGCACCCGATCTGTCCCCGAGGCCTTCCCAGCCCTAAGGCTTTGGCTGTGTCTTAGGAAACAGCTCTTCCTGAGTGCTGAGTGTGCATCCGAGTGGGTGCGGCATGCAGGGCCACATGCTTGGGCGCTGGTTCTGAACCCCAGAGCTGAGGACTCTTCCAGAGTTCGGGTGGCCCCCGCCTGTCACACACTCTGATTCATTGCTGTGGTGAGACTTTCTTCACTTTTCAGAACTGATGGCTCTCTCTGAGTGAGTTAAAAAATAGCATCGAACCCTTGAAGAGATGATGTAGCGGGCCTGGCTCATGCAGGAGGCCCAGGAGAGCACAGTGGCCCCCAAGGAGAAAGCAGCTCTGGGAAGGAGGTTAAGACAGGGTTAACATTAGCTTCATCTTACTTCCTTTTTTTTTTTTTTTTTTTTTTTGTGGTCCAACGACTGGCAACTGGCGCTGGGGCCATTGCACTGAGCTCTGTCCCCACCCTTAAAAAAATTGTTTTCCAACAAATCCTCACTGAATTGTTAAGTTGCCTGTGCTGGGCTCAAGCTTGGCATCCTCCTGCCTCAGCCTCTCGAGCACCGGGATCACAGGCGTGTGCCTCCTGCCCGGCCTCCTTCCCTTCGCAAAGGATGAGGAACAGGAAAAGGCCACGAGGACTCAACTCTCCTCCCTGATTTGCAGTGACTGTCGCTGTTGCAGGCACAGGCGTCACTCAGAACAGGCCCAGCTGCTCCTCATTTTCTCCCCACCTAAGCAAATACTACATGCCGGGGACCCCGCCTGAGTTGCGTGGCCCAGCATCTTGGGAGGTGTTGGGTGGGGACCCCGGGCTGGGCACTCTGGCCAGCGGGTCCCCACATCTGTGGCTTGGAGCATCCTGGACAACATGGAGTGGTGGCCCTCCGCCCAGCCCTGCCCCACTGCGGAGGGGACCAAGGAGGTGATGTCGCACAGGGCAGAGGCAGCTTTCGCAACCACTCCCTCTCCCCAGCCCAGCCAGCACGCGTTTTGCTGTGCACCTGCGCTCTTGGTGCTGAGCTGTGTCCCAGACCCTTTTAAGATGGGGGCGGGGGTCTCACTACATGGCCTGGGCTGGGCCTGAATTTGCAGCTTTCCTGCCTCAGTCTCCCCGAGCACAGGGACCCCAGCGGGCTGCTGCCGTACTACGGAGATCTGCAAAGGTGCAGCGGTGGGGGGAACCAGCGGGTACCTAAACACTGAGCGGAGAGAGGTGCAGTGGTACTGATTTCAGCTTCTGGTTAAAGGAGAATTTGTTTGTGCTTACCAAGACAGGACTCTAGCACTCCGCGGTCCCCCACGAGAATGCGACTTGCGTCTCTGGCTGCATGGAGGTTCGGCTGTGCCAGTGCAGGAGGGACTGCTTTTTGAACACAGCTTGCTTGAGGCGTGGTTCATGCAGACTGTAACTGGATATTCTGGCGTGCATGCAGGCCCGCGGAGCCACGCTCACTGTTGAGATAAAGCACAGATCCGTCACCCCGCATCCCCGGCTCCCTGGGCTCCCCGCCCCTCCCTCTCTGGAACCTGCCCATCTGCTCCCCATCCACCACTGCATTTTCTAGAGTTGATGTCACTGGTGTCATATGGTGGGGGGCAGGGCCAGGCTGTTTTGAGCCCATTTTGTGGGTCTCCCTGTGTAGCTCATGCAGCACAGGCTGACCTTGAACCAGCGGTGATCATCCTGTCTCAGCCTCCTGAGGGCTGGGATCACAGGTGTGTGCCACCATGCCTGGCTTGGCATGAAGCGGATATTTATGACACAGAGCTGGGCAATGTGGGGATTGTGCAATACTCCCTCCTACCCTCCAGTTGGTAGCTGGCGTAGGCACTGAGACGGAAGTGATTTGGAAACGTGTGAGTGGGGTTGTGGGGCAGCCACGCAGCGTGGCCTGGACGTTTGAAGCCAGGGAGTTGTGCCCAGCCACACAGGTGTCAGGGAGGATCTGGAGGCAGGACACCTTGGCAGGTTCTGCAGGTGGCATGTGGGGATCCAGGGATGCAGGTGCAGTGTCACAGGCTCAGGTCCCTTGTGGCTGCAGGCCATGTCTCCAGCATGTCCCCAGGTCACCTTCCATCCATGCACATTTCAGTCAGAATCCCTGGGGAGACTGAGGGATGGGCTGCCATCTCTCCCGGGGACCTCTTGTTAACTCAATCACCCATAGGTGGGAAAGGCCCTTCCGAGTTGAGGTCAGGACACCAGCATGGCTTGTGGGGGACACAGTTCAACCTCTCATGCGACAGTGGAGAGTTTGGGCTCAATTTTCAGGTAGAGGGGAGTCTTGAGTGATCTTGATGTGGGAACTCCCAAGCTGTGCTTCCAGAAGTTACCCTAGCAGGTGTGAGACAATTCCTAAAAATGAGTGGACACATGGGCCACTGTGGACCAATCAGAAAAGAGCAGTTTTCAATCCTCCATTTGCACCATGAGCACAGCCAATCAACCACTCTGTTTTGCTCTTTCATTTACATTTGGCAAGGATCTGGCTGTGCGGCTCTGCAGGGCAGTTTCAGCCAGCATTGGGAAATGAGTGTTCCCCAGGACCACTGCCCTCCCTTCTTTGCACGCAGAGCAAGCCAGCCCGGGAAGTTTGGACATGAAAGACCCTGCCCCGTTTCTTTCCCGGGGGCCTCTGGGAGTCTTCTCTAAACGGCTTGCTCGGGGCTGGTGAGATGGCTCGGTGGTCTGGAGCACCTACTTAGAACAAGTTTAGCAGATCACAGGGACCGCGGTTCAGTCCCCCAGCACCACATGCCAGCCTGCCCTGCCCCCTGGTGGGCTGAGCTGGCCACACACACACACACACACACACACACACACACACACACACATAAAAAAAATTAAAAAAAAAAAAAAAACGGCTTGCTCTTGCCCTCAGAATGGATTATTTTTCTGTCTGCTAAAACAAACACAAATGTTAACCTGGTACCCTGTGCACTGAGAGGTGGGGCCGCTCCGAAACTGGCCTTGGGGCTCCCAGGCGCAGGTGAGCTCCAGCCTGGCTGCTTTGCAGCAGCAGCATCCTGGGCTGGAAGTCACCCCAACACTGGAGTGGTCCTTAGCTACAGAAATGGGGAGGAGGAGCCTGTGTTACTATGGCAGCCACAGGGGTTGATTGGAGGTTTTCTGGATTGCTTTCATCCAGGAGCCAAACAGAACCTCACTCTTCATCACCTGACCTTGGAAATGAACTCCAGGGCATCTTGGGGGGTGGGGGAGGCGGGAGACGCAGTCAGTTGTTACAGCAGGGACCCACGCTTTTAGTTGCACGCACATTATTGACATGGTAAATAAGTACACTGTATGTACATCTCATAAAACTATATTGTTTCAAAGCACTTTTAGGTCTGGCCTGGTGGTGCACACCTGTAATCCCAGTACTTGGGAGGCTGAGGCAGAAGGATCACTGAGTTCGAGGTCGGCCTAGGCTACAAAGTGAGAAACTGTCTTAAATAAACAGGGCCGGCCAAAGAGCTCAGTGGATTAAAATGCCTGCAAGCAGGCTCAGGGACCAGGGGTTCCATCCCCAGGCCTACCCTGCCGGCCCTGCCCCTGGGCACACCGAGATGGCTGGGCATGGTAGAATGCGCCAGTAAATCCAGCTCTTGGGAGGCTGTAAACAGGCAGATCAATACGAGTCCCATCTACTAGTGAGACCCTGAACACCCTGTAGACCCTTCCCTAAAATACGAACAAACAAAAAAACTTTTCCATACAAGAATTTTATTTTATTTTTGCCATCAGTCTCCCTCTTATTGTAGTTTACCTCACTATGGTTTTTCAGATTTTCATTTTTACTGGTCTGCGTTTGCATCACATAACGTTCGCATTCCTTGGGGAGGGGGCGTCCGTGTGTGTTCAGGGCTGGTAGCTCGGCTCCGTCCTTTCGCACCCCATCCCCATTTCTTGGTCTCCTCATTTGCCGAAGAACCATCTCCGTTTCCCATTATCCAGTCTTGCTCCTTCATCTACTCAGGCATGGGTTTCTCACAGAAGGAGAACTGTGACTCGTACGCTGGCACACACAGCACTTTCATTCTCTCCTTGTCTGCAAGGTGTAAGACGCGTGCTCATGTCCAGGGTCGCCCAGGCTCAGGCGCATTTGGCTCTGTCTGGCTCACAGCCTCGGTCGGGTCTGGGGTCTGTGGTGAGAAACGCTGTGGTTGCTTGGGTCTTACCTGTGCCTCCCCAGGTGGCTGAGATGGCTGCACACTGGGAAGGGGGCCCTGGGAAGCCATGGTGAGGGCCTGGGAACTCCCGAGGCTGCTTCGCGAGGTGCTCGCTGGGCAGAGGGGTGGAAGAGAGAGTGTCTGGTTCAACTCTGCTTGAGTGATTAAGAGTGAAGTTGAGCTTGGGTTTCAGTTTTAGTCATGGAGGCTGCAAGTTTGAGCAACTATACGTGGCTTGTGTGTTTTTAAATGGAAATTATTAAATTAGGCATGGTGGAGTGCACCTCTGATCCTGGCGCACAGGATGCTGAGGCAGGAGGATCACTGTGAGTTCCAGACCAGCCTGGGCTACAAAGTGAGCTCAAGCCCAGCCTGAACTGAATGGCGAGACCCTGTCTCAAAAACACCCCCTGCCAAAAAAATCAATTCAGCGGAAATCACTATGTGGCCAGGTGGCGTGGTCTTTGAACATAACCCTATGCTCACTGAGTCCTGGCTACCATGAGGCTTGTGACATGGTGGCCTCTAGAGAGGTCAAGCAGCCGTATGGGCTCTAACTTGGGTTGGCGGTCTTCACGAGTCCTCTGAGAGGCTTTTGCAAAGCGGTATGTCTGGAGCTTGGACTCGCGGTGCTATCGTACAGGTTCTTGTCATGCACAAGCCTTGAGAAGACACCAGATGACCTGAGAGGATGAAGGGTGTGGGCCCGGGGTGTAGATGAACTCGGAGAACGTTAAACCCTAAAAATGCACAGCCTGTGGACCCAGCGCTTGGGAGGCTGAAGCGGGAGGATCACCATGAGTTCCAGGCCAGTCCAGGCTATACAGTGAGTTCAAGACCAAAAAAAAGGGGGGGGGAGTTATCTTAAATAACTTTCTGGGGGAAGAAATGGGCCTGGCTGTAGCCCAGGTTGTAGGCTGAAGGCCCAGGCTCCTCTGTACGGCCTTCCACGTCTCTCTCCTGCACACAGTTGGATCTCAGTGACTTAAAGAGACCCTGGCCCAGGATTTCTCAGTCGCCCTCCTGCAGGAAAGCATGCTGTCGTGGTCTTTCTCCAGCTCTTTAAGATTAAGTCTGTAGGGACCGGGGAGATGGCTCAGTGGAATAAGCGCTTCCCTGGCAAGCGCAAGGGTCTGAGTTCAATCCCTGGTTCTAAAAAAAAAAAAAAAAAAAAGATGAAGGTGGTGTCTGTACCTGACACCACCTAGAAGCACACACAGCCGGCCTTGGGGTCAGAACTCAAGACTTGGGTCCTAGGTTAAAACTAAAATTCCAGTCCTAGCCCAAGTTGTTTGTATGTTGGGTCAGTTGTAATTCGTAATCCACTGGATTTTATTTGTGAAATTGTTGGAATCAAAAGTTCAAAGCCTCTGAGTCATGGGGGAGCAACCACATGTTCGTAAGGAGGTCAAGAAACACTTTTTTTTTTTTTAAATGAGTGAACGATTTTTATTGAAACCCTCAAAGATTAAAGAGGACCAAGTGGAGAATCTGGGCGCTGTAGCTGACAGTCTCCTCTCGCTGTGCCATTCATAACAGGAACGAACACTGCAAATGCGGAGGAGACAATCTTGGCCTGAGCCTTTTAAGTGCTAAAGTTGTTACATCAAATAACAAAATGCAAAGTGTCTAATTTTTCCTTTCTTTATTTATTTGCATTAGTGGGGGTTGAACCCAGGACCTTTGCACTGAGCTGCACCCTCACCCTTTTTTATTTTTATTTTTTATTTTGAGGTAGGATCTTGCTAAGTTGCCCAGGCTAGGTTTAAACCTGTGATCCTCCCGCCTCAGCCTCCCAGAGTGCTGAGATGCAGGTGTGCATCCCGAACTTACCCATGTAATTTTTACTTTAAAAAATGAACCGAATTTTAAGGGAAGGGAACGTGAGCCCTGTATTCCAGCTTGCTAACAGATGTCAGTTGGAACCTTTTTTTCCTCAAAGATCCTTGTTGTCTCTCTGGTGCCCTGGGCTTATGAGAGTTATGGGCCCAGGAGGTCCTGGGTCCTGGGTGAGAGAGAGATGTGGCACCTCCGAGCCCCGGTGGAAATCCAGTCCCCAAATGACGAGGGCGTCTGCAGCGACCTGTAGCACAGGTGACTCCCAAGGACATCACTGCAGCTGTTACTGGCCTTAAATCCTTGCTGCCTCAGCTCACCTTAGGCCAAGCTCTCTCCCACTTGGGTGTGTGGGGACGGTGGCCCTCACAGAGAAAGACGAGGGTGGCCCCTGGCCACAGCAGACAGGTGCACTGGGCCTGGCCCTTGTCTGAACACTTTCGCGTTTTACCCAGCGTGGCCACAGTTAGGATGTCACACGAGAGTTTGTGTCTTCCAGGCGGGCGTTTTCAGCTCTGGGATGGATTGGCAATGGCAGAGCCGCCTGCCTGTCCACACAGAAGCTCCTCGGCTGGGTTTTGTTTGGGACCGCAGGGCCAGCGCTCTGAAGGTCCGCACGCCTGCGAGGCGCAGGCAGGAGGATCGCTGTGTGTTCAAGAACAGCCTGAGCTATAGAGTGAGACCCTGCCTCAAAGAATACACAAAAACAAAAAATCGAAGCGGCTGCCGCACGTTGGGCAGGGAGCACTGGCTGCCTGGGATCTGCGATCCTGGCGGGAGCTACGAGTGAGCTGGGGGAGGGACGCGGACCCCTCCCCTGCGAGGGGGGAGGGGAAAGAGGCAGGAACACGGTGGGGGGAGCTGGGGTGCGGGCAGGCGGGGCCAGGCCGCAGATGTCTCAGCCGGCAGCTTGGGGCTGGGGTGACTTCATCCGGGTGGGGTGCGGCCCTGGGACTCCCGGCTGGGTGTGGGGCAGGGGTGCTGGAGGAGGGGCGGGGAGCGGCGCGGGCGGGGCCCTGCAGCCCGGGTTTGGGGTTTGGGGGTTGCGGCCAGGCGGGCCGGGGGCCCCCTGGGGCGGTGCTGGGGGCTGAGCGCCTGGAGATGAGGTCAGCGCCCTGCAGGCTGCAGGCCGAGCGGAGCAGCCTGGCGCCTGCCAAGCTCTGATGGGGAGCCGCGGCCGCCACCTCCTCTCTCCCGTGGCTGGAGACCCGGGAGGCACCGCCCGCCAACCCGCGGCCGGGGAGGAGAGGACCCAGACTTGGAAGGCCGGGCCGGGTCGTCGGGGTCACCGCAAAGGACTCGGAGAAGCCCTCAGCCACCAGCGACAGGCGCGCTTCGGAAACAGGCGAACGCGTGGCCCTGGTGTAGGGTCCGTTTTCTAAACACTGTAGGCGGTTCCATCCTCAGATTTTAATCAGAACTCAGCGATCTGGCTTTCAGATGCGTAGATGCGCTCTGACTTTCAGAAAAACAGCTACTTGCCCGGCATTGTGGCTTTAAGATTTAGGTGCAGGTTTGTAAAAAGCCGAACAGAAACAGTTCCCGTTTCTTTGCCACCCTGCTCTTGGTTTCTGCAGGCAGACATCTAATTAAAATGTGGGCAGGGGCAGGAATCTTGATTGCTGTTTGTGTCGCAAGAGCAAGCAGGGCCCACCTCCTGGTACGCAGACTGTAGATCACACACAACTGTATTTATTTATTTTGGGTTTTTGAGCCAGGGCCTTGCCAGGCAGTTCACGCTGGCCTTGAACCTGCAGGATTCCTTCTGCCTCAGTCACCTTCCCAGCCAGTGCAAGAGGTTGCAAACTGCCAGGAGCCGGCCAGCTCGCGGTGGGCTTGGGCGGGAAGTGTTCCTTCCGCAGCAGCAACCCCACTTTTCTTCCAACTTTGAGCTTTGTGGGCTCTACGGCCTGATTGCATTTGCTTTTGGCAAAGTGTCAATAAATACAAAAGGTCGTTTATTTATTCATCCATTGACGGTTAAAAAGGAGATGACCCAAACACAGAGTCGCCAGATGGTTGTCAGCAGTTCCTAGAAGGCACAGCGGCTCCTCGGGCTCCTTGTGTGCCGCAGATTGCCCAGGCCAGGCCTTTTAGCGAGCTGTGGGACGACCCCACCCCCATCCGGCCCGCGCAGGTGGGGCTTGCTAGGTCACTAACTTGCTGGGCTGCTCCACCTGGGAAACCCTCCCCTCTCCTGCGGGAGGAGAACCCCGAAGCCAGGCACTGTCACCCAGCCCCAGGCTGGGCCCTTCTTCCCCTTGTGGCCTGCATCCTGGGCCTTCAGTTTTTCCTTCTTTTTTTTGGCAGAACTAGGGATTGAACTCAGGCCCTTGCACTTGCCAGGGAAGCACTTATTCCACTGAGCCATCTCCCTGGCCCCAAGGGCTTCAGTTTTAGTGGCCTGTGTCAGTGTCAGTGTAACACAGGGCTGTGGGCATGGTGGTACTTGTAATCCCAGCCCTCAGGAGGCTGAGGCAGGAGGATGGGAATTTTGAGCCTCACAGACAAGGAAGGATAGGCTGGTCAAACTCTGTCTCAAAGAGAGGTCCAAGGGTCAAGAGGGGGACAGATGCGCTGATCCTCAGGAGTGCCAGATCGGGACTGTCCAGAGAACGTGCTGGGATGGTGGCAAAGCAGTTGAATTCTTGGAATTCAGGACCAAGGAGGAGACTCTTTTTTTTTTTTTTTTTTTCCGGTACCAGGGATTGAACTCAGGATCTTGTACTTGCCAGGCAAGCACTTATTCTACTGAGCTATCTCCCCGCCCCCTCCTTTTTTTTTTTTTTTTTAAGAAAATAAAACAGTAAAAACAAAACCTAAAAAATAAAAAACTGTTAGAAACGATACAGAATTTCACTAAACAAAATGATAGCAATCCAACAATGGTCCTTACATTGCATATGGCTGTCTTCAAATTAGTTGTTCAACTTGCCAGATATAAACATGCAAAATTAGTCAAGAGGAAAAAAATAAGCATTAACTGCTCCTTTCAATTGACCAGCAGAAATTGGCAGCACAGTTATCCAAGCCATCCTGTGTGTGTATATGTATTTCTTTTTTCCTTTCCTTCTTTCTCTTCATTTTATTTTATTGAATGAATTTACACAGGCACACATGGCCACGCCTTACTCGGCTCTCTTTGTGACTGGAGGGGCCACCTGGTCTCCACCCCAGGGGCTGAAGCTCAGTGTGGTTCTGGGAAGACTCAAGATTTTCGGCCGCTGGGGTCAGATGTGTGGGTCACTGGGGGTTTTCCTATGGACAATGGCTCCCGAGACACTTGCAAATGGAGACATAATATCACTAATCATTGTTTGACTAATCAATGATTGATCTACTTAATGACTAATAATTATCATTAACACCTGCAGTAGGGCAGACGCTTTGTTTAGAAATGAGGATGTTTCACTGGGCACAGAGGTGCACCCCTGTAGTCACAGCCCTTGGGAGGCTGAGGCAGGAGGATGGACATGAGTTTGAGTCCAGCCTGGGACATAGCGACACCTTGTCCCAGAACAAAGGAAAGACAGTGGCAGGAAGGACGGCATAACTGAGCTCAAAGAGGAGATGTATTTTGATGGGGTCTGTGGTGGGAGTTTAACAAACACTTTAACAAACTGTGTTAGGAGTGACCATCCTGGCCAGTGAGGGAGGGGGCAGGTGGAGGTGCAGGCAGGGGAGGGATGCTGGCGCCGAGCCCTGCTCCCTTCTTTCCTTTGGTGGCTGCTTCTGAGGAACGTGGCTGCCAGTGGGGCTGCCTCCACCCTGCAGGTGCTGCCGACTGAGGAGAACCTGTCCCCCACCACAGGTACCGTGTGAACTTCAGGCCCCGGTATGTGACCCGGTATAAGACAGTGACCCAGCTGGAGTGGAGATGCTGTCCCGGGTTCCGTGGCCCAGACTGCCAGGATGGGCCCCGGGACCCTGCCAAGGGCCCGCACCCCTCGCCCTCACGGCCACGGAATAGCGTGAAGAAGGCCACAGGTAAAATCTGTCCCCCAGCATCCCTGTGGGCTATGGCTTTCCAGGGCAGCAGAGAGATGTGGCCATGGGCTCCACTGCTAGCGCTGGAAAGCTGAGGAAAAAGGCTGGCCATGGTGGCATATGTCCAGTAATCTCAGCACTCAGGAGGCTGAGGCAGGAGGGTCTCCTTGAGTTGGAGCTGAGTCTAAGCTTCAGCACAAAACCAGCCTGAACTACCAAGTGAGACACTGTCTCAAAAAACTGAAAAGGAAAGAAAAAACAGAATAGCATCGAAAGTATCGTTATTGTTTAATATTTAATGTATAAGACCCATAAATGTGAGTTTAAAGGAATTAAAAATGTCTTTCTAAAACTAGATAAATAGAATCATTCTCATTGTCTGAGATGAGATATCTGCACAACTGAGCTCCAAGTTAGAATTTTCACCCTTTGCTCACCTGTTCTCTGAAATGGAAGACTGAGATGATCGAGAGGACTGTTATAATCTGTCAGTGCTGGGCGTTGAGCCTAGAGTGTGCTCACTGAGCTGCCCACAGCCCATTTGACTTTTGGGACAGGCTCTTGTTAATTCTCTACGATGCCCAGGCTGGGCTTCAACTTGTGATCCTCCTGCCTCAGCCTCCCAGAGGCTTACAGGTGAGGTCTACCACGCCTCCTGCTACTTTGATTTTAACCAGTGATACTTGCTGTTAATGATCTTGTGCAAGCCTGGGAGCCCAGCTTTCGGGAGGCTGAGGCCGGAGGATGGGCCATGAGTCCGAGGCCAGCCTGGGCTGCACAGAAAGCAAGGCCTCATCACAGAACCAAACCAAACGCAGCCCCAAAGCCAGAAAAGCCCGTGCAGAAGTTCAGAGACAGCGGACCACGAGCTTCGCATGGCTGCGCCCTTCTGACTCCTGCGGCCTAGCCTTCTCCTGGCACGGCTGTCTTCCGGTCCTGCCCTTCCCTTGGTGGCTGCCCCTCCTTGGGTCTGCTTTCCCGTGTCGCTGCAGCTTTTCACAGCTTCCTTGAGGTTTCTCTCTGATTCAGCTCATATTGTTGTCTGAGTCATGGCGTGGTAGTTGTCATTTTCTTTCTTTCAGATGTTTCTTGGGGGGGTGGTTGTCCAGCGATGCCCAGAAATGGACACTCCCTGACCCAGGGGACTCTCAGCCCCGCTGTGTCCTGGCTTTAGTTTCACTGCCATCCTCACAGGAAACGACGTTGAGGGGGCCCTTTTCCTAGGGAGGACAGTGGAAGGCGGTCAGGGCTTGTTCTGAAGATGCCTTCAGGTCCAGCGTGGCCGTGGCTGGCAGTGGATGGGTGGCTGCTGCTGTCTGGGCTTCAAGTGGTTTCCCATGTTTATCTACTGCCTGGGGTGACGCACTCATATGATGTGGGGGTGAAGTGAGTTTCCGACTCTGGTTACTGGTCCTGTGGCACAAATGTGTTCCCTTCTCTGTCCTGGCTTTTTTGAGACAGGGTCCCAGAGTGTTGTACAGGCTGACACTGAACTCACCACATAATCCAGGCTGGCCTCTAGTCCATGGTGACTCTCCTGCCTCAGCCTCCTGAGAGGAGGGCTTGCAGGGGTGCGGCTCCACCTGAGTGCCCAGGGAGCCCGGTCTGTGGTTCTGGCCGATTCTGGGAAGGAATCCAAGGCTCACTCACTGTGCCCGACTTTTTCCTTCCACCAGATAATGAGGAACCCAGCCAGGTCTCCCCACCCAAGGCCCCTCTGCCCCCCACACGAGCCGCAGACCCAGGGCAGCACGCAGAGCCAGGTCAGGGGCTGCAGAAGCTGCAGGAGCAGAAGATCCAGGTTCTGGAGGAGAGCGTCCTGCGCCTCACGAGGACGGTGCTGGACCTGCAGGCCTCCCTGGCGGGCGCGGGCGAGCGCCACAAGCCCTCAGTGCAGGCTGATGCCGGCACAACGCCCGCGCCCGACCCAGCTGACCCCGGGGACATGGCCCAGCTCCCTGGCGGCCTGCACGGCAAGGAGTCCGGCATGAAGGACATCAAGTCAGAGCTGGCCGAGGTCAAGGACACCCTGAGGACCAAAAGCGACAAGTTGGAGGAGCTGGACGGGAAGGTGAAGGGCTATGAGGGCCAGCTGCGCCAGCTGCAGGAGGCGGCGCAGGGCCCCACGGCCACCATGAGTGCCCCCGAGCTGCTGCAGGCCTACGTGGACGAGAGACTCGCAGCGCTGCGCGCGGAGCTGCTGGAGGGCATGGACCGCAAGCTGGCCGACCTCAAGGACACCTGCGAGTACAAGCTGGTGGGGCTGCAGCAGCAGTGCGACGACTACGGCAGCAGCTACCTGGGCGTCCTCGAGCTGCTCTCGGAGAAGGAGGCCAGCCTGCGGAAGGACCTCGGCGACCTCCGCGCCCGGCTGCAGGACCCTGCGGCCCGGCCCGGCTGCTGTGATGGTGAACCGGCCGGCGACTGGGGCTCGCAGATCCGGGCGCTTGACCAGAAGGTGGAGCGCGTGGCCGAGGCCGCCAGGATGCTGAACGGGCGGCTGGACAACGAGCTTGGCCGCCTGGCAGTCCCGGAAGCGGATGTGGACTTTGACGCCCGGTGGGAGGAGCTGGACGCCAGGATCAACGTGACGGAGAAGAACGCGGAGGAGCACTGCTTCTACGTGGAGGAGACCCTGCGGGGGGCCATCGACGGCGAGGTCGGGGACTTGCGGCAACTCCTGGACCAGAGACTCCACTCCCTTGAGGACAGGCTGGACAGCGTCCTCCTGCAGGTGGCCAATGGCAGCGAGGGCCCGGCGCTGCCTGAGGCACCCGGCTGGGACGGCGCCCACGTCCTGGGCGAGCTGCAGCGCTTGAAGGAACAGGTGCGGGGCGTGCAGGATGGCTGCCTGCAGAGCCTGTCCGGGGGAGGCGCCCTGTCCCCTGGGGACCAGGCGCCCGAGGTGGGTGACAGCGTGAGCCTCTGGAGAGCTCTGAATGACTCGGTGCACCGCAGGCTGCACTCTGCTGAGCTCAGCATCCAGCAGCTGCAGGAGGACCTCGGGGCCCTGCATTCCCGGCTCAACCGCACTGAGGACAGTGTGACCCGTTTACAGAAGGCCGGCCAGGTTACCAAGGGCAAACAGGAGGTCACCCTCCCAGCCCCACAGGCGCCTGAGGCTCCATGCTGCGCCCAGCTGGAGGATGGGTGGCAGAGGCTGCAGGCCCGGGTGCTGGCCGAGCTGGCCACGTGCAGTGAGCGGGCACGTGGGGCACAAGGCGGGGTGGCCGCGGTCGAGGGCCGGGTGTCCCTGCTGGAGAGGACGTGCGGCAAGCTGGACTCGGTGGCTGGCAGCCTGCAGAGGATGAAGGAGGCCCTTGGCACACACGTGGCCGGGCTGTGGGCCTGCGTCCGGCAGATGAACCGCACCCTCGGGGCACATTCCAGGGACATCGCAGGCCTGCGGAGCTCCGTGCAGCAGTTCTACAGCCATGTCTTCCAGGTCTCCTCTGACCTGCAGGACCTGGTCACGTTTCCGCCACCAGCAGGTAAGCTGGGCTTCAGAGTTTCATCACTTTCCCTTTTCTGTGTGTGCTTTTTTTTTTAATTTGGTGAGATAGGATCTTGCTATGTATCCCAGGATGGCCCCAAACTTACAGCAATCCTCCTGCCTCAGCCTCCCTATGCTGGGATGGCAGGCATCGTCTCTACTTTGTTCCCTCCTCTTGTCCCTTGGACCTCGTTTGTTCAGGTGACCCAGGTCCGCATACCTTGTGATAGTCCTCATGGCTGCCATGGCCGTGTGTGTGTGTGTGTGTGTGTGTGTGTGTGTGTGTGTGTGCATGTGTGCGTGTGTGTTCATGATCATGTCCAGGCAGGGTCCCCAGTCGCTGGGGGGCACTCTATAGAAGGAGTCACTTGGTGGACCAGGCCCCTGGGCCCTGGAATGTGCACCGAGGTCGTGGGGCAGCGAGCGGTCACAGCCACTGTCCCCGGCAATCTCCACACTGTCTGGACCCTGCTTTCAGGCAGGATGGTTGACTTCAGTTCCAGGCCAGCTTGGGCTGCAGAGCAAGCTCCAGGCCAGGCTGAACTACATGGTGAGACCCTGTCTCAAAAAAAAACCTCAAACAAGGTGACACACAAGCAGTGTCTGCCACCTGTGGCGGCCCTGGCTGAGGAGAGCCCTGATTCGCAGCTCCAAGGGGCCCGGACCCACCGTCCCATGGAGCGACACGACTGTCAGCGCAGACAGGATGCTGGCCACCTGCCGACCATGGTCCAGGCCATGGGGAAGGACTGGGCTGATGGACAGTGTCCTCATCCAGAAGGGAGACACAGTCTCAGGGCAGAGTCGCAGTGGGCTGCAGGGGCGGCTCTTTCCATTCTTCTTTGATTTTTGAGTTACACTCTCGCTATGTAGTCCAGGCTGGGCTTGAAGCTGTAGCGATCCTCCTGCCTCAGCCTCCCTGCTGCTGGGAGTAGAGGTTGTGTCTCTAGACAGGACTGTGGCTTTCATACAGGACCTGGAAGGGAGATAGCGTTGCATGACCCTGTCGCTTTCCCATCCTTGCTTGTGTTGAGGAAAGACAAACCAGGGCCAGGTACAGGAACACGGAGGTCCCTGTCACTGAGCAGAGGTGACACATGACTGGCGATGACAAGCCTACTCCTGGCTGGCCCTGAGAGTGAGGCTGGCTGCCGCAGAAGGCGCAGGCATTCAGGCTCTTTGCCCCTTTCTCATCTTTTTCAGATTTTTTTTTCTTTACTTTTTAAAATTTTTTATTTTTTCCTTTGAGACAGGGTCTTGCTATTCATCTCAGACTGGCCCCAAACTCACAAGGATCCTCCTGCCTCAGCCTCCTGAGTGCTGGGATCACAGGTGTGCACCGCCCTGCCTGTGCTCCTCCTTTTCTGAGTTAGGGGCCTCTGGGAAGCATCTGGGGCCCAGACGTCTCTCTTCAAGCATCCACAGCTTCAGGCACAAACCCCTCAGATGAGGCAGGAAGATCCTGGCAGTTCACGTCCAGCCTGGAGAACTGAGCAAGACCCCGGCTCAACATAGAAACACATGGAAGGGGCCAGGAGGTGGCCTGGTGCAGGCCCTGGGTTGGCTGCAGTGCTGGGCCCAGGCTTCAAGGGACGTGGGCACGGTCACGCTGAGCCTTGTTGGGGACCCGGGATGTCATCATCCTGCCTGACGCTGGGACCCTGCGGCAGGGTGAGGAGGCACTGGCTTCAGAAAGGAGGGTGCAGGGTGACGCTGCTGTGGTCATGGAGCCTCTTCTGCGTCACACTTCTAGGAAGGGACAGCCCTGCCTGGAAGCCACAGCACTTTCAGGCCCCTCTGGTGACAGGACTTCCCTTTTCTTTTCCCAGTTCCCTCTCTGGTCTCCTCTTGGTGACTCCTCCCAGGGCCTGAGCAGGGCTTCTTTTAATTTTTTTTTAGTTTTTTGAGACAGGGTCTTGCTATGTAGCCCAGGCTGGCTTGCAGCAACCTCCTGCCTCAGCCTCCCGAGTGCTGGGGTCACAGGACCACGGCAGCTGCCACACTGCTTCATTTTAGGGGCGTGTGGCCATAACATCCCTTCTCATCAGGCCACTGTGCTGAGCCAGCCAGGCAGGGAGCATGCAGGCGTGGCGGGCCGTGGCCGCTGAGCCAGTCAGCAGGCCTGGGCCTGTGGGCTTTTGTGAATTCTTACAAAGGCCCAGGCGCTATCTCCTCACAGCCTGGCTTTGAACTTGACCCCGCCAGGCTGCGTGCGCCTGTGCTTCCCTGTACGGTGGACCCGGATGGTGGCAGCCCTTGTGCCCAGGACCTAGGGCCCCCCCCAGGGGCAGAACCAGCCTTACTTGGTGTGTGTGTGTGTGTGTGTGTGTGTGTGTGTGTGTGTGTGTGTATGTGTGCGCATGCGCGCAAGTGTCTCAGCCCGTGGCAGGGAGGCCTGGGACCTTGGGCTAAATCTGCACTTGATGCCTGGCCTGGTGTAGGCAGGAGGAGCCTCCTAGTGACACTGGCCCTGCCCTGCTGATTGCTGCTTCTGTTTCTCTGTGTCTCGGGATGGACTCCAGGCCCCACGCACGCCCCAGCCCAACCTGCTGCCCTGTGCCTTGCCTGCACTGCGAGTGCAACTCGGGAATTTGTCCCAAGAAGCCACACCCCACTGTGGCATTCAGCAGTAGCCAAGCACCTTCTGGCCAGGTGTGGTCCCAGCACCTGAGGCTCAAGCAGGAGGATTGCTGCGAGTTCAAGGCCAGCCTGGGCTACATAAAAACAAAAGCCCCTTCTGGAATGGGGGCACGGCGCGAGAGAGGGAGGAGCCTTTCTGTTCCCAGGGTGTCTCAGGGCTTGTCTGTTCTGTGTCTGTGGTGTGGCCCACGACATCCTGCTGCGCTGGCCAAGCCTGAGGCTGCTGCTCACCTGTTCACAGCCAAGGGCAGCCCTGAGCACTGGGCAGGTTGCTGTCCAAGTGGGGTCTCCATCAGCCTGTCCCATGTCCAGTTCCCCAGGTGGCACAGGCTGGCCTCAGGGGTGGGCTTAGGGGCCTGTTTGTGCTGGGATCTCTGTGTTGCGGGTGCCAGGACCACAGGAAGCACCTGTGGCCAGCTCTGCCCAACTGGCACTGAGGCCTGCGGGGTGCCAGGCAGCACTGCAGGCTCAGCCTGCTCTGGACCCGGGTCAGACACCGCCATGGCCAGGTGCCCCAGGCTACTGTGTACCCTGCTCCTCAGCCGAAGTAGGGCATAACAGGGGACAGGAGCAGGTGTCAGACAGGACACAGTCCCAGCACAGCAGCCTCAGGGTTGCGGGGGCTCTCAATCCCCTTGCTTCTGTGAGGTGGCATCAGCTGTTAATGCCAGCTATGACAGCCAGCCTGGGTGCTGAGGACTGACTGGGTGCTCCTGAGCCCCCTGGCATGCTGGGATGGACCCAGGGTGGCAGAATCAGGGCATTCATTGCACTGTGGGCAGGAATTAGGACATAGCCACAGGCCCTGCTGCCCTCCTGGCCTGGCCCTGATGGGGAACTGGTAGGATGCCATGGCCACTCTGGAGGGTGCTGGGCAGGCGGGATCTCGGTATGGCTGCAGAGCCGTCCTGTGCTTCCTGCTGGCCACTGGCTTTTTGTTGTGGTGCTCATGAGGGATGGGGATAGGGTAGGGTTTTGCGCCTTACAGGGGCCTGGGACGTGCCCAGTGACCCGATGACTACCAAAGCAGGGTCCCAGAAGGCTGTCCTGGGAAGGCACAGAAGCCCAGGGAGGCAGCTTCCGGCTGACTTGGGTGACCAGGGCCTGGCTGCTGGTAGGTGCTGTTCCCAGCCGGCTGTGGGCAGCGTCTGAGCTCACGGGGTCCCGATGCCTGCTAACCCGGTGCACCTCTGCTTCCCCTGCCCAGCTGAGGAGCCCTCTGCAGTGGCCCCCACGGAGGAGACCCCCCAGCTGCCGGCTGAGGCCACCACTGCTTCACCACAGCCTGAGCCGAGCACTGAGCTACTTGAGGACATTGTAGGACAGAGGCCCCCGGACCAGCGGCCGGTGCTCCCTAAGCGACCCCCACAGCCACGGCCCCCGGAGCAGCTGCCACTCCCACCTTTTCGGCCTGGCTGGGTGGCGCCACACTTGCTGCCAGGCGCCACGGGAGTTGTGATGGAGACCGGTGAGGCCGGGCCTCCAGGCCGGAAGCATGTGTCGGGCAAGGGCCTGCCCAAGGGCGTGGATGGGCAGAGCGGGCTCCGGCCTGAGCCCAGCGCCGAGGGCTATGCAGGCGCCCCAGGTAAGCCCTTCTGGGGAAGCAGGCAATGGTTGCAGGCAGGGGAGGGTTTGGAGCCACTTGCGGGGCACAGGTTCAGAGAGGGGCTTCCAGGGCATGGGGACAACACGCTGGAGCCCTCCCGCCAGGAAGCAACCAAGATGCTACGGTCACATCTCTGAGGGCCCCGCAGGCTGGCAGGGACCTGTCCCCAGTCGTCTGGCCCCCTGAAGCTCAGGCCTGCCTACAACGTGAAGGTGGGCATGAGCTGGGGTGCAGTGAGGACAGGGACCTGGGTCAGTGTCGGGGCCACTTCGGGCCGCACTGGGTGACCATGAGTATGGCAGGGGCAGCTGTGTGAGCTGGGCTGTAACCAGGCTTCCAGGCTGTGGCGTGGGACAGATGTTCTGCAGGGCCACAGCATGTCAGCCTCCGTGGGCTGAGGCAGCGCTACATGCTGCAGGGGCACTGGGCCAGCGTGTCCCCATGGGGACCAGGACAGTAGGACAAGGGTCCCTCGCCAGCTTTCTAATTTTTTAATGTTTGATCATCCCCAGGATTGAACCCAGGGCCTCTTACTTAGTGACACTCTCAACCCTTTAGTTTTTGTTTTTTTTTAGTATTTAGTACAGGGTATACAGGGTCTCACTACGTGGATCGGACTTGTAGTGATTCTCCTGTTTTCAGCCTCCTAAGTGCTGGGATTATAGGTGTGCACCACCACACCCAATCTCAGTCTCCATCTTGCACTCCGGAGGTGGGGCTGGCACTATTTTTCCCCCCAGCCCTTTAGTATTTATTTTGGGAGAGGGTCCCTGGTAAGTCACTAGGTTGTCCAGCTTCTCTTGAATGTGTAATCCTCCTGCCTCAGCCTCCCAGGGGCCTGGGATTATGGCTGCCTTTTCTAAAATGCCTTTGGCCCCCCCCACCCCATGGGGATGCTGAGCTCTGCCCGCACCTTGTCCCCTCTCCCTCACTGAGCTACAATGCCAGCTGCCATCTAGGATGACAGTGTTGACACCCCTTCTCTTTCCAGGGTACCCCCAGACACCGCCTGCAGCCACCCCAGGTACGTGTTGGTGGGACCCCCCCCGGGGGGAGGGGCAGATGGGCAGTGCTGTGGAGGTTCCTGTCCTCCATCACTCCAGCTCCTAGAGTCCCTGGCATGCTGAGTGGCCGGACCCTGTATGGTCCTGACAGCCCCCAAGGCCTAGGGCTCCAGCAGGTGACAGCAGCTGGTGTCACACACACACACACACACACACACACACACACACACACACACACACCTTTAAGAAATGGCCTCACCGTGTAGCCTAGGCTAGCCTTGAACTTGTGATCCTCTTACCCCAGCCTTCTGAGTGCTAGGCCACCATGCCCCACCCATCTGAGTCCCTCAAGCCTACCTAGTCCCCAGTGTTCTCCAGGGGTGACATGGTTTGTCCCACGAGGGCTTCCCAACCCGGGCTTGCTAAAGCGAACGTGCTGTCTTGCTCCATTCCCTGCCCCAGGGCTCCTGGAGCCCGGCCTCGTGTCCTTCTCCGCGGGACTCACGCAGAAGCCGTTCCGCAGCGATGGGGGCGTCGTCCTCTTTAACAAGGTGCTGGTGAATGACGGGGACGTCTACAACCCTGACACTGGTGAGTGCTGCATGGCTAGGACACAGCTGTGGCTTCCGTCTCAGCGGCTCTGCCACTGTGCGTGGAAGTCCCTTCTGGAGCCCGAGGCCCTGCCAGTGCCGGGATCTGTCCGCTGCCTTCGTGGGCATGAGGTTCTGTTGGGCACTCGCCGGGGCTCTGGGCCCCAATAGCCGTGGCGTTGCTGGGGCCCGAAGTCACTGCTGTCCCAGGCGGCAGCACCTCGGCTGCTCTCTGGGGCGCCCAGACCAGGCCCAGGAGCCCCCATTCACTTGCATCCCTTCTCCCGGTGGGCGCTAGAACTCCAGCCTGAGCTGGGCCTGGCCTGAGCTCTGTGCTCAGGGCCTTTCTTAGTGGGCCTTGGGGTGCTCCTCATGGAGCAGCATCAGGGTTCAGACCCGAGCTCTAGGAGGCCGGAGCCGGCAGGCGGCCATGCGGGGTGCGGGGCCACCTGCTCCCCCTAGCGGCGCACTGCTGCGGCAGAGAAGGCTGGGGCTGGGCAGCGCGGCTGGGCAGCGCGAGGAGGCTGGCGGCCCTGTGCAGCTGCCACCCAGCTCACCGCCTCCCGCTCCCCAGGCGTCTTCACGGCCCCGTACGACGGGCGCTACCTGATCACGGCCACGCTCACTCCTGAGCGCAATGCCTACGTGGAGGCCGTCCTGTCGGTGGCCAACGCCAGCGTGGCGCAGCTGCACACGGCCGGGTACCGGCGCGAGCTCCTGGAGTTCCACCGCGCGCCTGGGGCCGTGCACACCTGCGGGGGCCCCGGCGCCTTCCACCTGGTCGTGCACCTCAAGGCTGGCGACGGTGTCAACGTGGTGGTGACGGGCGGCCGGCTAGCTCACACGGACTTCGATGAAATGTACTCCACCTTCAGCGGGGTTTTCCTGTATCCCTTCCTTGGCCACCGCTAGGTGCCGGCCTTCGTATACTCAGTTGGCACGGACTCGAGGAGCCGGGTCAGGAGCCTGCCTGCCCCACGACGCGGGCCCAGGCAGTCACCGGACTGGGCAACGGGAAGGCCAGGGACGCCCCTGTCCCTGATCCCTCCCTGGCCTTGTCCCTAGCTCTGGCCCCACCCAGGGCCCAGCCGGACACCCCGGCTGCCTGAGATCTGGGGGTGGGCGGCCGGCTGCAGGGCATCTTGCCCCGCCCTCCCCGGAGAGAGACAGTGCAGGAGAAAAGTCCAAACACTGAAGACCCCCAGCCCCAGCACCCCGAGTGTCCAGTGCGGGTTCCTCAGGTGGGGACAGAGCAGACTGGCTGGCACGCGACTGAGGCGCAGAGCCGGGTGGGAGGTGGGGGTCAATAAAGACATAGACCACTTCCTTCTGTTCGCTTGCTTTCTTACGGCTCAGGAGTGACCTCTCTAGGGACAGAAATTCGTCCTGCATAAATTCACCTTGACCCTAAAACAATATGCAGCTATTCGGGGCTGGCAGTGAGACCAGATGTGTTTGGTCAGAGTTCTGCAGGCCCCTGCAGCCGCTAGCTCCTGACTAGCCAGCGAGCCCTGACGCTGCTGCTTTGGCAAGGTGCAGGCAAATGCAGCTTTATGGATCGGGCTCCTAAGAAGCGGCCCGACGTCCATGTGCAGGGCGGGACACAGCTCCCCGGTGAGGCCATGGGCACCACCCTAGAACCTGGCAGGCACGGGGTCTTCCAGACCAGGATGGGCAGAGGGTGGAGGCAAGTGAGGGATCTGTGGGCACGGGAAAGCGGCAGGCAGCACGGGAGGTGTGTGGGGAGAGCGGGCCCAGCAGCCCTCCCCACCCCCAAGGTTGGGCTGCGGAAGGAGCTTTGTTTCCAGGCAAAGGAACTCACAGGCCTCAGGGCCCCGCACCAGGGGGGGCGTGGCGAGACCTAGGCTCGCTGCCCAGCTGTTTTAAAGCTTGGCCTCCCGGTCCAGGAGTGGCAGAGTCTAAGGTTTTCTTGTCCTGGTTTCTGCGGCTGGGGAGCTGGCTAGAGACTGAGGCAGTGTCCCTGGCTGTCCTAGAAGTAACTCATGGAAAAACCCTGGGCAGCAGTGATTTCAGGAAAGCCCAGTTGGCGCACACAGTCCCTCGCCCTGTGCCCTGTGCCCGGGGCCAAAGAGGACAAATGCTCAACAGCCGGACTGCCAGGGAGCAGGCTCAGGACAGAACAGACATCTCCTACTCCAGGAATGTTCAAGAACAAGGGCAACTTGGGCCTCCTCTCTCGGGGCCCTTCTGATTTTGTAGTGCTAGGATTAAACCCAGATGAGCTGAGGTCAGGATACCAGGGTAGATCAAGGGCGGTTCCAGCAGGCCAGGGACGCCCACTTCCCACATGTCTGCTGGCCTCGTCCTGACAGTGGAAAACAACGCTAAGCGATACCTGCAGGAAGGAACCAAGACACTTACATCTGAATGATTTCCAGATTAGCTCGGTAGTGCTCCTAATGCCGCTGTCATTTTTCAGATGGTTGCCCACAAATTATTTGCAGCTTGAAAGGAAAGGGGTGTTTGTGTCACAGGCACCCAGGCCCTGCCTGCTGCTGAGGCAGGCGTCACCCACTGTCTGAATGTGATCCGCGCAGTCCTCATAGGTCCCACGCTGGAAAGAGGGACATGTAAACGCAAGGGTGCTGTGGAGATGGCCCTGGCTCAGGGTGGTACCCGCACCCCCTCAGTGCACCCAGCCCTTTGGGTCAAGTCAGCTTCCTCAGCCTGGCTCCCTGCTTCCATTCCAGTCCCTGTCACCCTGCCCCACTGAGGCAGCAGAGGGGACGGGAGGGCTCCCCCATGAGCGCGGCACACACTGCCCCAGCCGTGGACAAGGGTTTGGGCCACAGAGCTCACTGGCTCGCATGAGCACCTCCAAAGGGGACCTGATGGAACCCTGCGGGGCTGGCGGTGGCAGCCCCTCAGGCAGGGGCTCCAGGCACTAGCAGATCACCTCCCACCAACCTGGAGCCAGAGGTCAGTTCCTCCGGGCAAAGCTCACTCTCTGGAACCAGCTTTCAAAGCAGGCACCAGAAATCCTTCCCATGGACAAATTTCAGGCAGCAAAGGTCAGAATGCTAATTTATGGAAATCACTGCTTTCTGGCCAGCGTACAGAGAAGATGGTTTGAATGTCCCCTGAAAGAAAGAGCCAAACCCACTCAGCTTTATGCCTGTTTATTGTTGTAACATCTTGTTTTGAACATCAAACACTGCACCCCAGTGTGAGCACCCATCTGAGGACATCTTCACCACAGCTAAGAGAACGGCACTGACGCTTACAACGAACTTCTGACAACTATTAGGGACGCTGCTGCCTAGTAAGCAGTACTCTATCATCAGCTGAATGTAATTACTAAGTGGAAAGAGTAGTTTCCCCTTTACCTCAAAAAAGAAAAAAAAGAAAAAAGAAAAAAAAAGAAAAATCACTCTTGCCTGGAAAGAAGACTTATTTTAACCAATTTTAAACCAGCTTAAATGAAATTCCGAATGCTCTCACCCCCAGAGCAGGGCTCCCAGGTAAGGGTGATGTCAGGACAGCCACCCAGCACCCCTAACCGTCTGCCCCACCCCGCCCCTGGGGTCGCAGCTCTTAGGGACCTGGAGGAGAGAGGGACGTCCCCCAGGCAGAGTGACCCATCACTGGAAGACAGCGAGGTAAGCCTGCCTCGCCACCTCAGGGTTGTGTGCAAATGCATAGAGGGCATCTCTCTTTCACAGAAAGAACAAATGTCATTTGTACCAAATGGCAATGGGTTTCCAGCACAGGCGCGCCTCCACAGCACAGCACTAGAGAGCGCCTACTGTCTGCGTGACTCACACTTAGCCTGCATCGCTGCCGATAGGTGCGGCCGGGTCCGGGCTAGTCACACCAACAGGACAGGAGACATCTAGCCCACAGGCCAGGAGAGTGCTTGCTGGGAAAGGGAGCTCCCCATCCAGGCAAGGGTACCACCAAGCACATGGCAGGGCCTTGCCTCTTTGGGTCTCCCTCGGCCTGCTCTCAGCAGCTCACGCCCAAGATCGGGACAGCCAAGGGGGCACAGGGCACTGCGGCTGCTCACTGGCGCCAACCCCACTCTGCAGAGAGCCCCAATCCTGGGGCCTGGGAAGCCCCTGCTAGGGGCCACTGCAGAGGTCTTGTCCTTGATCTTGGACAGGGACTGCTCGGGACACCACTCTGCGATCAGCAGAATGACCAGGCTCCAGGTCTCCTTTTGGAGGAAACAAACTCAGTGACACTGGCCCAAGCCCCCCTCTGCTGGGACCTCGCTGTCCTATGGTCTCCAGTGCAGGACTGGGCTCTGGGCTGTCCAGGTCCCTGAAGACCACCTCTAGCAGCTATGTGGCGGTCACTACCATCATCATCACCAGCCCTGCCGGATCTGACATTCAAGGGCTCCACCGTGACCCCCAGTGCAGAAGTGGTACTGCTGGCTGCCAGCCCTGAACTCAGTGTTCCCCCGCTTACTGACAAAACGGAAGCACAGAAGATCAGAAATCTTGTTCCAAGCAAGACCTGAAGGCCACCTCAGCCGGGACCCTGGTGGGGCAGGACCAAGGCACCTCTCCCGGGGCCCGCGTGGCTGCTGCCCCTGTGTTTTCCCCCAGTTTCCCACTGGCACTGCAGACCTTGGATGTGACAAGGATCACACTTGGATCTGCACTGTGGGCACAGTCTGAGAAGAGCTCCCCTCCTGGAGCAGGAGCAAGAGTGAGCTCTACCTGGACCTCGCACCCAGGCCAGGAAGAGCAGTCTGCCTCAGGGTTCAGTGACAGCCCTGCGGGGAGTTCCAAGCTGATCCTCCCACTCCGCTCTGTGCTCTGTTCCGCAGCTCCGGGTGGTGTTCAGTCAGGCCTCAGGCCAGGTCATCCAGGGCTGCAGCGGGGATGGGATCTCGCCAGTAACAGAAGGAACTGAACTCCGGGCACGGGAAGGCGGAGCTCTGCTCCTTGCTGAGCAGCGGGAATACGTGCTCCACCAGCTCGCTGAGCCTGTGGTACCTGGGGGAGAGGCGGTTATCCTCCCTGCCTGGGTCCCCAGAGCTGCCCAGAGCAGCCCAGACCCAGGGTCTCGAGAGGCAGCCCCTGCACTTACGATGATTTGTTCCCTTTGGTCCTCTCTTGGATCAGCTCTCCCTTGGGGTTCACGGTGAAGATCCTGCAGTCTGGAACCCCCACCTGTGTGTACGCATAGACGTCCTACAGGAGGGACAGCAGTGAGTAGCTACACGAGGTGGACAGGCTCTGCTCATGACCGAGCTCCTAACACACACTACAGCAGTGCCGAGCTGCAAGGGTGCTGCTGACACCCAGCCTTGCAGGGTGTGAGAGCCTGGAAATGTCCCAGCCTGGGTTTGGGGTACTCCAAAGCCACAGCATGGAACTTGGGGTAGAGGCAGATGTGGGGACATGGGCCTAGGACCCCAGCACTCTGGGACGGTGAGGCAGGAAAATGCTCATTCAAGCCCTGATTGGGCAAAGTTAATGAAAGATAACAGTTTGGGCAGGAGATGGAGGTTGGTGCGAAGGCTCTGGAACCCACCTTGGGCAACACTGTGAAGTGTGGGTCACAGTGGAGAGCTCACTGCCCATTTCTGGGGCAGAGCAGATCTCTGGGCCCCTGGTGGCTGGCACAGCCAAGTGGGTGGCTAACTCTGCTGCTGTGCAGTAGGAGACCCACCCCAGTTGGACCCGGACACTTACGTTGGGACGGTTCCCAAAGGCAGCATAGAAGGGCTGCTTGGATGGCGCAAACAGGTTCTTGATGTCGTTCAGACACTCGATTTTGAACTTCTCTGGTTTCTTTTCTATCACTTCCCTAAGAAAAAAGTCACCAGAGTCAACATGCTAGCTCTCCCCTGGAGGTTCCAGGGAGGTCCTGGGGTGTCCAGCCCCAGGGAGCAGGGTTCCTGCTCGCCTGACCATGCCCAGCATGGGAAGGGGAGCCTTGGGGCTTGGGGAGGTGGCACCTGTGAAAGGCGGAGAACAGGCTGCTGGGTGACAGCATGAGGGGTCCCCTCGGCAGGATGGTGCCCTTGTCATTGACCCAGTGCAGGTAGCCGCGGGTCATGTCGGCCATGCCGATGGCACGGGCAGAGCAGTACAGGAACTTGTAGCCATTCCTAGGTGGAGACAGAAAACACAAGCTGTCCTACCCGCGATCCTGCTCTGCTTCCAGCTGCAGAAAGCAAATCCCACATCTTTCCGCTCAACAGATGCGAATGGTTCCTATGAGTACCGTGAAAAGTGAGTTCCCAGTCTCAGCAGGCAGCCAGCTGGGACCACAGATTTGGCTCCTCCATGGACACAGACTGCGGGACCAAGGGTTGGCCCAGGCGCGGCCCTGAGTCAGGCCCGCGGGGTGGGAAGGCCCCCAGTGGTTGTGCTCGCAGGGACACGTGCTGGATGTGAGCTGTGTGTGAAGACAAGGCGCAAGCCCCGCCCAGAAGGCTGATGGACTCATCATTCCCACTGTGGCGTTCCCAGTGAAAGCTGAGGGGGAGCCAATTTCAAACCTGGGGTCCCCTGCGAGCCAGAAGGTCCTCCCTGAGGATGCCCCAGAGAAGCCCTGGTGGCCTCTTGCCCACGTGTGCCTATATTACCTCAAAGAAACAGAATTCTCTTTTTTTGGTTTTCTGTCTTTTTGACTCAGGGTCTCGTTATGCAGCTAGGCTGGCCTTCGGCTCACTTTGTAGCCCTGGCTGGCCTTGAACTTGCAGTAATACTCCTCCTTCAGCCTCCTGATTACAGGCGTGTGTCACCACACCTGGTTAAAACAGAACATTAACATACCCAGGAGCTGGGGCTAGCCAGATGGCCAGCCGACTAAAGTGCCTGCTTAGGCAGACTTAAGGACTGAGGTTCGCTCCCTGCTGTGCCGTGCCGTGCCGGCCCCGCTTCCGGGGCATGCTAAGCCAGTGACCCAGACTGGGCATGGTGGTGCATGCCTGTAACTCCAGCACTTGGGAGGCTGAAAACAGGAGAATCACGAGTCCGATCTATGTAGTGAGACCCTGTACTAAATACATAAAAAACCAAAAAACAGACAATAAACCAACTTTGCACAGCAGCTCTCGTTCAATTTTAAAGAACCATGGCTATAGGTGGTGCCTCAGGTTCACAGGTAAAGCCTCACACGCCCAGGCACACGGGGGTGGAGCGTGGGGACTTTAGGTCACAAACACACAGCATGCAGAGAGGGACCTACTCGTTGATGGAGTGGTACAGCTTCGCTATGCCCTGATGCGTCCAGTCTTTACCCAGCTGCGGGAGAATCTGGCCCAAAGCGTCAGACCTGTGGGTAGGCAGAGGAGGCAGGCTCAGCTGGGAACAGGAAGCTGAGCGTCTTCTGGGTGGTAGAGCCAGCTGGACACGCCGCCACTGCTGGCCAGGCAGCATGAGGCCCTCGGCTGCGCCTCTAGGCAGGCCCGCGTGGTGGCCAGGGCTCGCTGACCGAGACGACCTTCAGCTGCCTGGCCTTCCTCCTCCCTCTTGAAAACCAGAATCTAGAGCCACCCTGACGCGGCTCAGCCTCCCCAGGTCTTTAGGAGAGACCCTCTCTGTGGCAAAGACCACCACACTGAGGGACCGTTCTTACTTGGTTATTGTCCCGTCGATGTCGGAAATGATGACCTTGTCATTCCAGTCCCACAGGTAAATGGTCCCTGCACAGCGGCACGTGCCTTGGTACTGGGTGGTGATACTGAACACAATATCATTGGGGCCGTCGTGCAGCTGCAATTTTGCCTTGAAGGGAAGTGGGAGAATACAGACAACCCTGTGAGAACCTACGGTCTGGAACAGGTTTCAACTGTATACCGAGGTCCCATCTGGACGCAGCCTGGCTTGACCCAGCCCCTGTGTGGGCCCAAGGGCTCCCTGGGGCTGCGGAGACCACCCCGTCCCCCAGCAGGAGCCCTGTGTTGCCTGGTCCCCGAGGCCCAAGGTCACAGAATGCAATTGGCAGGATGGGGTGGAAATAAACAGGATGCCTGCCTCTCTCTCCTCTGTACTGTGCCAGGGCTGGTTTGCAGGAGAGACTTTGAGGCTGAGGCCAGGGTATGGCCAGAGGTGACAGACAGCTCATGGAATTACGTCACCAGTGCCCTGTATCCCAAACTCACAATCTGGTCAGAGGAGAGCCGCAATGACTTCCTGTATGAGGGGCTGTTGCCATGGCTCCGGGCCTCCATAGGTAGTGGCTCCGTGGCGACAGGCTCCTCCAGCTCCTGGGAGCCCTCGTCACTCGATGTGTCATCCTCGGTCAGCCTAGGGGACACCAGGGCTGTCACCACCGGGAGCTTTCTGTGCAGATGCTCAGTGCTCGCTCGTGAGGGCCAGAGCCGTTTCCGCTCCCAGAAGCTCATACACATAGCCTCTGGTACTCAAACATGGTCACCCACCTGCCCAGGATCCCCTGCCCCAAGCTGGGGTGTAGACCAATGGCTCTGGCCTGTTCTTTCCACTGTGCTGGGGACTGTATATGCATGTTTTTAGAAGTACAAATTAAAGAAAATATCAATGACATGCTGCTTTCTAAAAAGCTGAGGGAGAAGTACTCCGTACAGCCTTCACAGCAGAGGCTGAGTCACAGATCAACTCCTGGGTTATGGGTGTGGTGACAGGAGAGAAATGGGGGGGGGGGGGACAGAAACCCATAGCAGGAGCTAGGACAGTGTGAGCGGCGGTCCCCAGTCGCCACCCCATAGCCTAAGGAGATGATGACACCCCTGACTGCCCTAGCCTTCCTCACACCTCCCTTTGCTGGGGACAAAGTTTCTCGACACAAGAGACTCCAATTGCCATGGTCCTAGCACTGACCCCACCCATGCCCTGGGATAGGGCAAGGGACTGCGAAACCAGGTGGCACCAACAAGCCACCGAATGCTCCACCTAAGGACAAAGTTGTCCAGGGTTACATAGGCTGGGCTGGATGGAGGGGGCAGCCCCACCTGGCACTGGCTGGCTCCATGGGGCTGGCAGACAAGTCACTGGTGGGTGGCGCCTCCAGCTTCCCCTCCTTGGCCTCTGGCAGCTAGAAGTGAAAGATGACAAAGGTGTGTTTGAGCCCCTCTAGAAGCACCCTCAAAGACAGCAGAACCCAGGCCCACCTCGGGGACTCAGGGAAGTAGACTTCCCCCATGGGAGTCATGGTCAGATCTGAGTGCGCCACGCGCAGCCACCCAGTGCCTTCTGACAGCCAGGGCAGAGCTGCAGATACACACAGTGGCACAGACTCAGGTCCCCACAGACACAGGAGTGTGGTGTGCCACCCCAGGGGCTTGGCAGCAACCACAGTGGAAAGCACTGCAACTGTGACATGGCCACTAGAGCATCTGCTCAGAAATTGTGGCTGTCACCCTCAGCAAACACCCCAGCAGAGAGCGCTTCCCGGGCACAGAAGAGATTTGGGATTAGAGCCCAGCCCCAGCCCAAGGACCTTGATGCTTCCCGGCCTGTTACCTGCTTGGTCATGCTTTCCCGCTTCCGCCAAAACCACCAGCGCCCAGATTTCTTTGGCATCTTGTCCTTGACCCAGGACTCGACCGTGGCCTGGAAACATCAGCCATCAGCCTGGAGCTGTGGGTAGGCGGCACTGCCTCCCAGCCACTTGGACAGTGGCAGCAGCCGGCCTGGTACTGGGTTCTGCATGGGCGGCTCTCAGGCTAGGAGGGCAGCTTGTGCCAAGGTTAGAGAGAAGCCTCAGGGCGCCATTTAATGAAGAGGCCTGACAGCCACAGCCTGACCCCATACTTGTTGTCGTACTTCCTTGCCCTGTTCTCCCCACCTTGAGGGGAGCGAAGAGCTTTCCATTCATTCTCTCTCTCTCTCTTTTTTTTTTTTTCCATTCATTCTCAACTGCGTATTAGTGAGCTCTACCTGTCCCCCACCCCCCAGGCCCTCCCGCCCTAAATCTCTGAACTTCCACACTGGACAACAGTTAGCAGAAGTAACAGAAAGTGGCAGCTCAGCTAACTCCCTAGCCTGTGGGCATGAAGTATTTTAGGAGCCATGTATGGCAACCCAGATGTTTTACACTAAACAGTAAACTCAGACAATGGAGTAGCACCAGCACCCATCGAGAAACACACCAGTGAGTTCTGCTCTGTGCGGCTCACCTTGGGCAGACTCTTCTGGAATACCTGCAGGCTGAGGATCATAGGTGCAGCCAACGCCCAGTTGTAGTACCTGTGAGAAGAGAGAATTGTGCAAAACTATTACACAGTGGGCTGCAGAGGAGGAAGGGAAGAGAGCAGAGGAGCAAAAGAAACACCTCCAACTGCTTATTCTTTTCTACAAAAATATGACTGACATTTCTCTCATGAGAAAAACCACTGCTACAGCCCCAACTTGGAGCAGAGAAGTCATGAGACCCACAAAGCAAAAGAGCACCTCCATGCCACATCTAAAATAGAGTCGAGGCTTCCCCTCCAGCATCACAGCCTACTGGCCTGTGGGTCAGAGATGACCAATTTTATTGCAATAAAAGTGTGACGTTGGTGAAAACCCCAGAGTACCATGTGATGACCAAAGCACTTGCCGGTTATAAATCCTTATGACGAGGTTCGGATTGTCTATCAGTCCAGGGTTTTCCGCAAATTCGTGGTAGGTAATGATGTGCTCCATAAACTTTTCTGCAGTGGAAACCATTATAGTCAGCTTGGTTAGAGAGCTCATGAATTCCTGCAGGAGATCACCACAGCACTCTGCACTGTAGGGACTGTAGGCTAGAATAAGTCCTTTCCAAAAAACTAATCTTAAAGGCAGAATGTCAGCGTTCCCCCCACCCCCCCAGGATAAAAGGAGAAGCTCTTTGTGTCTTCCTGCTCTTTGCCCATTAAAAAAATCAATCAACTAACTTGAACAACAGGACAAAGGGACACAGCAGAGACCTAGAAAACCACTCCTCCAGGTGTGGCATGAGAGGGAGGATGACAGATACATCACTGTAACTCTGCTGGGCAGCGTTCCCAGGCTTCACAGCATGAAGCGCACGCTGCACTAGGAAGCCTGCAAACCCCCGTACAGCTGTGCAGAGAAGCAGCCGACCTGGACCTGAGTCAGCTGTGAGAAGCACCCCCCAGGCTCCTGTGCTTCCACAGCATCCATGTCCCCCCATAGCCTCAAGCGGTCTCTGGGCTTTTCTATCTATCAGAGGGCGCTGAATCTACAGTGTGAGATGCGGCACTAAGCTGTGTGATTGGCTCACCGATTGCTATGGCACTGGCCTAAACTCAGCAGCTTAAATCAAGTGTAAGAGGGGCAGAAAGATGTTCAGGTTACTTGGTTTTGCTGTCCTTGGCCACCATGAACTGTTGCCCGGCTTTCATACCACCCTGCCTTGGAGCCAGCTGATAGATGGGAATCGCTATTAATTGAGTGCGCTAAATAAATCTCTCATTTAACTTTGTTTTCTTTTTGTCTCAGCAATGAGAGAAAAGGAATAAAGACAGAGGATTACAAGAACAATGTGGCTGACGTAATTCTGTTCCTAGAAGCAGTGGCCACAACATACTGCTGATTTCTTTTTTTTAATTTTTATTTATTTATTTATGTGTGTGTGTGTGTGTGTGTGTGGCCAGCTCAGCCCACCAGGGGGCGGGCTGGCTGGCATGTGGTGCTGGGGGATTGAACCGTGGTCCCTGTGCTTTGCTAAGCTTGTCTAAGGTAGGTGCTTTAGACCACTGAGCCATCTCACCAGCCCATACCGCTGATTTCTATGAGACGTAAAGCAAAGAAGCGGGATACAGACACAGAGAAGGGTGGTGCTGCCCAGAAGGCAGACTGCAGGATGTGGCGGGCCTCGCTCCCTCCCACAGCCCCTCAGGAGGGGACAGGAGCAGCGGAGATGGTGCACTGGGGTGACCTACCAGCCTGGAGGCGAGGCAGATACTGCCAAGGCAGAAGGCAAACCCGGAGGCGCAGGCAGGCAGGCAACTCGCCGTCTGCGCACTCCAGAACCCCTCACCCTGACCAGCTCTGCGGAGCTCTTTCCTTATTTGGGGCTGGCTTTTCCTGTCTCAGGAAACAATCAGCTTCCTTGCCTCTGAGCACTGCCCCAAGTACCTTCCTTGAGGGTCCTGAACCCCTGGCCAAAGTGCTTCTACCTCTGCACGGGGAGTTGCAGTCACATGGCCTGAGGATGCCTCCTTCCACACTCCCTGTCACAGGACGACACCAGTGCTTGCACAAGATCCCTGGAGCCCAAGATCCCTGGCCACAGCAGGGGCTACCCCTGCACACAGGCTGCTTGGAGGCAGAGCCCAGGCAAGACCATCCCAGGTACCTTTAGAGATCTCCCCATTGTCGCTGAGGCCCCCGCAGAGGGACAGGGTGACATCGGGCAGGTCCATGGCAGAATCTGAGAGACACTCAGTGCCGCTATCTGCGGCTGCGCTTCCCACTGACTGTGGGGACTGAGAGCCAGACAGGGTGTCGCACTCGTGCCACTGCCGGGAGCCAGGGTCTGTGTCACTGCCAGAGACATAAGGGGAAAAGCTGTTAAGGCAACTCCAACCCCTCTGGCTGGTGCACAGCTTAGGAGGCGCAGTCAGTAACATCTCCTAAAGGAAGGACGAGGCTGTGGCCTTGGGTCCCCCAGTGTGCAGAACCAGGTGACAGGGACATCAGAGAGGGCTAGGAAGCAGCTAGGGCTGGGGTGAGCACTACCAAGTCACCTGGCCATAACACCAAGGGCTCATCTCCAGCCTCTATGATTTCATTACAGAAGCAAGAGTTACAAGCATCTACTTCCATTTCCTGGATGAAGATGACCAGGTGATTAAAACAAGCCATGCCTGGAGCCTGACCCCAGCCCCATCGGGCAGCCACGGTGCACACACACCGGAGATGGGTTACTGCAGGGCTGCGCTCTGAGGCTGTAGTCAGCTCTTCCCTCCAGACACACAGCCTCGAGCACCCAGGGTCCTGTGGAAGCTACATCTGTCTACATGGGACAGCAGGAGGAACAGACAGGAAGTAAATCTGTCTTATGGCAGGAGGGCTCAAACTAACGATGCGGACACTCAACACTTATTTTTCTAGATACAGCACAGAAGCCAGATTCTAGAAGGTGACCGTAATGGAATGCTTTGGTACTAGAGTATAAATGTGACTTTTTGTGATTGTTTTGTGGGGTTTGTTTGTTTTTTAATTTTATTTTATTATTATTTTTAAAATATTTATTTATTTATTTATTTATTTATTTATTTATTTATTTATTTATTTATTTATTTATTTATTTATTTGTGTGTGTGGCCAGCTCAGCCCACCAGGGGGCGGGGCTGGCTGGCATGTGGTGCTGGGGGATTGAACCGCGGTTCCTGCGCTTTGCGAAGCTTGTTCTAAGTAGGTGCTTTAGACCACTGAGCCATCTCACCAGCTCCTGTTTTTAAATTTTAAAGAGAAAAAAACTCCCAAAATTTCAAAACAAGATAATAGCACAGTACAGTGGTTACTGCATTATGTACTTTTATCTTTAAATTAGTTACTCAGAGTATAAGATATAGGCATATAATTACCCAAATAACATCAGTACAAACCTTTCTTTTCAATGAAAGTAGTAAGGTAACTATTTTAACATATATATGTATATATTTTCATTTTTAATTTTTTATATTTACTTTTACTTTTCCCTTTCTTCTTTTCCTCCCTCCCCATCCTAGTTTCACTTGAACAGTTTCTTCCCATTTTATACCTATGTCCATCATGGACCCAGCTTCTCACACTAGGAAGACAACAGGATGTGTGCTTGTGTGTCTGGCTATTTCATTTATGAGTATGGTCTCGAGTTCCAGCCATTTCCCTATGAAAGTCTCCAGTTTATCCTTCAGTATGGGTGGATAGTACTCCATTGTATAAAAACGCTACATATTTTTTAATCATTCCTCAGTTGATGGGCATTCGAGTTGTTTCTAAGATTTAGTCATTACAAACTGTGCTGCTACTGGGGCTGGCCAAACAGCTCAGTGGATTAAAGCACCTGCAAGCAGGCGCAGGGGCCAGGGGTTTGATCCCTGGGCCTGCCATGCTAGCCCCACCCCGGGGCACGCTGAGAGGGCTCAACTGAGACTGGGTGTGGTGGCACATGCCTGTAATCCCAGCTCTTGGGAGGCTATGAATAGGCAGATCACTACGAGTCCGACCTAGTAGTGAGATCCTCAACACCCTGTAGACCCTTCTCTAAAATAGAAAAAACAAATACAAAACAAAACAAAACAAAACCCCACCAAATTGTGCTGCTACAAAGGATGCTACAAACATTCTATAGTAAGGCATATCATAGTAAAGATTCCAGAAATTCAACATAAGAACAAAATCTTAAAAGCTGTTAAAGAAACATTACCTGTGAAGGAAGCCCCATCAGAATCAGAGCTGACTTTACACAAATTCCCAAGTCAAGCCAAGCTTGAAGTATTTTAAGTCCTAAAAGAAAACAACTTCCAACCCAGATTTTTTAAAAAATTCATTTTATTTTTTTGGTACAGGGTCTTGCTATGTAGTTCAGACTTGTAAGTGATCCCCCTGTCTTAGCCTCCCCAGTTCTGGTTTTATAGGCATGCACTACTATGCCTTTTTTTGGTGGCCATCACGGTGTGTCGGGAGTTTTGGGGCAGGCATGGCTATGGTACCGGGGATTGAACTTGGGTCCTTATGCTTACCAGGCAGGTGCTTAGACTGCTGAGCTATCTCCTTAGCCCCAACTTATTGTTGTATCCCATAAAACTATCTGTCAAAATTGTTGGAGAAAAAAAGATACTTTCATGACAACACCTGAGGAAATTCACGAACACCAAACCAGCACTCCAAAATGTTCTGAAGGACATTCTAAAAAAAGAGACAACAGGGACCACAGCTTCACAACCCCCAACAGGACCCCACCAGGCAAGGCAAACAATTAAATGGGGGGGACAATAGGAAAATAATGTGACAAAGATAAATCAACACATATTAATTATAACCATCAATGTTAATGGTCTTAATTTGTGAATCAAGAGAAACATACTAGCAGAATGAATCAAAAAGCAAGATCCAACTGTATGCTACATACAAGAAACACATTTAATTCAAAAAGAAATTTATAGAGTGAAAATCAAAGGATGGAAAATACTATTCTATGTGACAGGAACCCAGAAAAAAGCAGGGGTAGCTATTCTGTTTGCAGATAAAGTAGATTTCTAGTCAAAACTGATTAAGCAACATAAAGGTCAGTACATCCTTGGAAAGGGAAATATTAAATCAAATTGACAAAACCTTAGCAAACCTTATCCGAAAAAAGAAAGAGTTAAATCCATGCAATTACGAATGAAAAGGGTGAAATCACAACAGATCCTGCAGAAGTCCAGATCATCAATATCTACTCTGAGGACCTGTATTCTAGTAAGATGGAAAACACAGAAGAAACAGACAGTTTCCTAGATGCACATTAATTATCAAATCTGAATCCAGAAGATATAAAAATTAAGCCAATATCAGTCAGTAAAATTGAAGATATCAAAAACTTATCAATAAAGAAGAGCCCAGGCCCTGACTGATTCACTGGTGAATTCTATAAGAAATTTAGAGAAGGATTAATGCAGCTTCTGCTCAAACTCTTGAATGAAATTGAAAGGGAAACAATATTTCCAAATTCATTCTGGAAACCAAGCGCTTGTACTATAAGCCACAGAAGAATCCAAGAAAAAGAATTAAAGGGCTGGGGAGATGGCTCAGTGGAATAAGCGCTTCCCTGGCAAGCTCAAGGGTCTGAGTTCAATCCCCGGTTAAAAAAAAAAAAAAAAAAAAATCTTTGGGGGCCTGGCCCTAGCTCAGTCCTTTAAGTGGCTGCTTCCACAAAGCTGTCAGCCTCAGGTTGCTGGAGTTTGAATCTCACAACTCTCCTGCTGGCCAAAAGTGCCCTGAAGGCAATTGAGGAACAAAAAAAAAGAAAATGAATTAGGTCAGTCTCGCTAATGAACATAGAAGCAAAAATCCTCAGTAAGATACTGGTAAACACAACGCAGTAAATTATCAAGAAGATTATACACCATGATCACAGAGGATTCATCCCAGAAATGCAGGGATGGTTCAATATATGTAAATCAATAAATGTAACAGCCCATATTAATAGAGACAAGAACAAAAAGAATTATCTCAATAGAGGCAGAAAACATTTGACAAAGCTCAACACCCATTCTCAATAAAAAGCCTACAGAGGCAGGAGGACTGCTGTGAGTTTGAGGTCAATTTGGCTATACAGCGAGACTCTGTCTCAGAAAGTGAAAGAAAAAAAAAATCCTATAAAAATTGGGAAGATTGTTTCTCAGTCTGATAAGAGCCATCTATGACAAGCCAACAGCCAACATCATACTACATGAACAAAACCTGAAAGCTTTCACTCTAAAATCAAGAGTAAGACAAGGGTGACCACTGTCACCACTCTTACTCAATATAGTTCTGGAAACTTTAATCAGAGCAATTAGACAAGAGAGAGAAATAAAAGGAATAATGATAGGAAAGGAAGAATTTCAATTATCACTATTCTTGGAAGACACGATATGCTACAAAAAGAAGCCCAAAACTGCCTAAAAGACTTTTAGATTTACAATTTAGTTTTCCTATCACAAAAAGTTTACAATTTAAGGTTTCTCACCTTTAAAAACCCCATTTCTTCAAATGAAGTATGTTATCTATTTTGAGACAAGTTTAAGGTACAGACCTAGAAAGGAAAGAACCTCCTAAAAATATGTCAGAAATTTAAATAGTTGTGTCAACCCCACATTTCTGAGTGAAAATGAAATGTGCTCTCAGCATTTCACTCAGAGGTCCCCGGGGGCGGGGCTCAGTGCAGTTCCCTCCGTGGAGAGCGCAAGCCCTTGTGCAGTCCCTGTGAGGTGGAAAGGGGAGCGGGGTGACAGTTCTTTGGGACGTGCTTGAGGCCCAGGCCTGAGCCACCTAGGGGAGGACTCTGCAGGCCAGAGAGGGCCCTTGGGTGATCCCCAGCAGGAGGAGAGAACCGGGACAGGGTCTCAGCAGAGCAGGCCTAGAGTCTAAAGACCTCCTCGGCAGGGACAGCACTCTTGGTAAGGTGTACTTTTTTTTTCCTTGATAGGGCTGACCTCATACTCCTGGCAATCCTTCTGCCTCAGCCTCCTGAGTCCTGGGATTACAGGGATGTGCCACCACACCCAGCAAGGATATGTTCTTAAAAATATATAGTAAAGGGCTGGGGAGATAGCTCAGTGGTCTAAGCACCTGCCTGGGTTTGATCCCTGGGACCGCACACAGTGCTGGCCACAACCCCAGGCATGCTGTGCTGGCCACCAAAACCAGGCACAGTAGAATATGCCTGTAATCCCAACGTTGGGAAGGTAGAGACAGGAGGACCACTATGAGTCTGAGCTGCTAGCGAGACCCTATACCAAATAAATAAATGATTAAAAATGTAATATACAGAAAGTGAATTTTTCAAAACATGTTGAATATGCATTGCTGAATATAAAAATAATCTCAAGTTACACGTAGTTACGTAGGTTTAAGCAACGTCACTCTTACTGGATTAGAGGCGTTTTCCCAACAGCTGCTGATCATCAAGCCCCTCCAGCCCAAGCCAGGCACACTACGAGCACCCTGCAACAGGAGCGAGGGCAGATCCACCCCGAGGCCCATCGCCTCCCTGCTTCCACTCCGGTCCAAGCCACGCACACACTACGAGCACCCTGCAACGAGGAGCGAAGGCAGGTCTACCCCGAGGCCCATCGCCTCCCTGCTTCCTCAGACGCAGGAACTACACAGACTGCCTCTGAGCGGCTGCCCACAGGACACAGGCCCTACCTCTTGGGGAAGTAGAGCGCAGCGACCTCAGGCTCCAGCCCTTTCAAGTCATCCAGGTAAATATCATCAGGCCCCTGGTGCTGGCTTCTTTTGTGGACACCTGTGTGTTTAAGAAAAACAAACAAGACATAAGAACTTACAATGCTGCAAGAAAATAAAAGAATTTGTAAACAAGCAACATGGGCCATGATTTGCACTGAGCGGCACTGCAGAGGTGCCAGCCAAGCTTTTCACGTGTGCTCCCTCTCAGGCCTCCGAGCCTGTGGAGGAGAGGCCTATGCTGAGTGCCCACGCCATTTATCCATGCTTTCACTGCCGCTATATGAAGAATCCCAGGCCCTCCCTCACCCGCATGCTCAACTGAGGAGCATCAGAACACATGCGCAAGGCGCAACACACAGGACCAAACTGATGAGTCACCAGGCCACCGCTGTGAGGTCCTGGAGGAGCAGAAATCTATGTATAACCATATAGTTGGCATATGCAAAATGTATTAGAAACACAGAAGAAACTCAACTTCCAAAATTTATCATCTAAAATAATAACGTTTAAAAATGTATCGAGGGGCCTGGCAATAGCTAGGCAGACTAATCGCCTGCCTGGCAAGTGCAAGGACCTGGGTTCGATCCCCGGTACTGCATGCTATGGGCCACCGAGACTGAGCATAGTGGCACACACCTATAATCCCTTGGGGAGGCTGAGATGGGAGGAACACTAGAGTCCAAGCTGTGTAGTGAGACCCTGTACCAAATAAATAAATGATTAAGAAAAAAAATTTTTTTTAAAGTAACGTGTAAAAGATACCACTTACTCTAAAAAACACACAAGTATCCCAATAATTTTTATGCTGATTATGTATCAAAATGTGTTAGAGTGAATGCCTTAAATAGATGTCCCTACACCTACTTCACAGCTGCCTTCCTCTCTACATGAGGCTGTGAGAAGGCTTAAGTGACCCAAGTGGCTCTGATTACAGAGTCATCCAATGTGCTGGGACACAAGTGGCTCCTACTCCTAGATGGCCCTCTAAAGTGCACTATCACGGGTGGAAGGGCACCAGGGATGCAGGGGTGGGGAGAATGGGGAGCAGTCCTAATACAAAAGAGAAAGGAACACCAAACCCCATGCAATGGAGGATGGCCGACAAGATTTCAGCTTGGAAAAATAGGCTCCGGCAAAGAGCCTCTCACAGGTCACCAGCAGGATACAGCCTTACAGATGAGCTGGGAGCAACACTGCTGGGCGACACGACACAGCCCTGCGTGTGGCCCCATCACTGACTGGTGCGCACGACTGTGTCCTCGGTGATGGAAAATACAGAAGCGGAGCTGCCGGAACAGAGGTGCCATCGCTCTGCGGGTGGCCTTGTGGAGTTGCAGGTGTGGCGACGGCCACATCAGGAACACAGGTGGAAAGGGGCATCATGGCTGAGGACACTGGTCATTCCTACATGGAGCTGAGCAGCACTCACCTCGCTTCCTGGACGGCGAGTCCACCTTGGCCGTTGATCGGGGCTCGGCAGAGGCAGGGCCGGGCGAAGGCTCCGAGTCTTCCTCGGGTGGTGGCTGTGCAGGCTCCAGCGACCCAGCAGCTGTGGGGCTCGGCCCATGCGTGCACAGGGCCCTGGGCGTGGGCTTCAGGAGGGCGTGTACTGGGTCAGTGGGGGGCCTGTCTGCGTCCTCATCGTCATCCCGCAACAGGCTGTCCTCGCTTGGAATGACCCGGAAATGGGTGTTTTCCGATGGGGTTATCATAGCTGTTCGAGGATGATGGTCAGCCCTTTCTCTTCTGCTGACCTACGAAAGGTGAACTGTGTAAAACCAAACTAATTTGAGAGATATCTGCTATCTAATTCTTTGGGTAACGCATATGCACTTGGGGAGTGGGGGTGGCAAGATAGTCTCACTCTGTACTTCAGGCTGGCCGTCCCAAGCACTGGAATGACAGGTGTGCCTCCAACTGCTTTTTATCTACAATTTTTGTTTTGTTTTGTTTTATTTATAATTTAACATTTATTAAACATACTGTTTTTGGTAAAACAGTTCAAAATTAAAATGTGGCAGAACTAGTAACTAGTTTGTTCTGTATCCTGGTGTGTATGAGAAGTCATGTTTAGTCCATTTTTATGAGACAGAGTCTTGAGGCCACCCCCAGATTTGCTATCCTGCTTCGGCCTCCTGAATCCTGGGATGACAGGTGTCCCTAAGCTGTCCCACAGTTCAGAAGACTGTATGGGAAGAAGACAAGAGCATTCATTTGGAGGGAGACGACGCCCAACAGTCACTGAGAAAAATAACTGCGCCTGAGTGCTTCAGGCTACGTGAGCGCATGAACAGCAGGAAGGCCAGAAGCAATCACAAACAGGAGCAAAGCTGACATTTAAAAACCGAAATTCAGCCTGGCTGGGTGTGTGACTCTAACCCAGTGCCTAGGAGGCTGAGGCGGGGGATCACTGCTGAGTTCGAGGCTGGGCTGCCCTCCGTAGTAGGTTCAAGGCCAGCTTGAACTACACAGTGAGGGCCTGTCTCAAAATCAACACCCTCCCCACAACTAAATTTAACAGTAGATCTAGACAGCTTTCTTAAGATACATATTATTCTAGTTGTCTTCTTCATTATGATATCAGAAAAGCTTTAAAAGTCAATTTTGCACGCAAAATTTCAATGCAGAAATTTTACTTTCTTTTAATTGCCTTAAAAATTTCCCTGTGCAGTATTACTTCTCTTGCAAATAGGGTGCACAGGTTCTGAAACTCAGCGCCGTGAGTGACCTTCATGGCCACGTGGGGGCGCACTGTCCCCGTGTGTGTCCTGGGAGCTGCCCTACCTTGGTAGACTCTGGGAAGCCACCCCACGTCCACTCCATGTGTGACTCGGACCGCAGCAGGCTCTCAGAGGGCTTCACCTCCAGCTCTGAATCGCTCTTTGGACATGCCGCCTGGGAGTAGGCACTGGAACACAGGGCCAGAGACAGGGACAGCTTCAGTGAGGGCACCTCGGCCTGCAGTCAGTCCACCTGAGCCCACAGACTGCGGGCGCCAGGAGGGCGAACAGCAGCGGCCTCCTCCTCTCTCAGTGCAGGAGGCACGTTGTTTCCTTTGCTTCTCAAAGGAAAGCAGCGAGGAGGTCATTTTGTAGGAGAAAAATGCATGTTAGCTCCTGACACGCAAAGACGGGCAGAGAGTGAACAGTGCGACCACAAGCCTTCTGCTTGAGCCTCACTCCCACAGCTGACTCCGGACATGAACAACCAGAACTCAGGGACCACAAGTGGCAGAGTCCACCCAGATCTACAGCTGCCCCGCACTGCTAGGGTCGGTCAGGTGAGCTGAGAACAGTGTAATCGCTGAGGAAAAACTTCTGTGCAACAATAGCAGGTAACACGTACTTCCTTCTTCCCTTAGGGAAGAACTTCCAAAGATACCTACTTCTCTAGCGGGGACCAATCTCCGTCGGATAAGGGGTAGTGATCCCCAGAATGAAAGAGCAAAGGATCCTTGTATTCTTCTTTTAAGGAAGCATTTGAAGATCCTCTGTGAAAGGAAAACACAGAAATGATGGTGCCCATCCTAGTTTTAAGAAGCACCCAAACCTAACAAGCTGTCTGAACAATAAGAATGAAGTGAGCCACATGATTAACTCCTCCTTTCCAATGGGGGTTTGCCAATACCACCTACAAAAAGTTCTGCAACCACTAACTACAGAACAGAGAACAAGCAAAAATTTCTTTTTGCATCCCTTCAGGTTACAACTAAAGCCTTACAGTACCTGTATTTCACCTGGCTCTTACAACCTGAGGTAGTGCGGATGGTTAGCTGAACTGTCAGCTCAACTGGTTTGGAGCTGAACAGGTGGTTAGCTCAACGCCATTCTGTCATGCCTGGGTGGGCCATGCGTGTGGCTTTGGGGGCTGCACTGGTCCCTGCCCCTTTCTCTCTGGCACTGCTTCTGGGATGCCAGGCACAGAATCTTTGGCAACCATGGGCTAAATCCAGCCCCTCCTCCTTTAAACTATGAATGCTGGATACTGCGTCCCAGTGAGAAATGGGGTGATAACTATGTCTTTATCTGACTGTGTGGTTTGGAAGTCTTTACAAATAGTTTATAGGGGGCTGGTGAGATGGCTCAGTGGTCTAAAGCACCTACTTAGAAAAAGCTTAGCAAAGCACAGGGACCGCGGTTCAATCCCCAGCACCACATGCCAGCCCGCCCCGCCCCTGGTGGGCTGAGCTGGCCACACACACACACACACACACACACACACAAATAAATAATAAATAAAATAAATAAATTTAAAAAAAAACAAATAGTTTATAGGTAAATCTGGGAAGGTTTGGAGACATGGGCTATGGAAGCCCTCACGTGCCATAAGCAGAGCCTGAAGGGTGATTCTGGTAATGGCTCCAAAGACCAGAAATGCCGACAGGCATGCAGACAGTAAGGACCAGGCTCAGGAAGTTTCAGCTGGGAGCAAGGACTTCACCAGCACCACAGCCATGTGCCTCTTTTTTTTTTTTTTTTTGCTCCAAATGCCTTCAGGGCAGGTTTGGCTGGCTTGAGTTGTGGGGATCGAGCCATAGCAGCCTGAGCCTGACTGCTTTGTTGAGGCAGCCACTTAAAGAACTGAGCTACGGGGCAGGCCCCCAGCCATGTGCTTTTATCTGGAAAAAAAAAAAAAAATGTCTGTGTGGAACCATGCACAAAGTTGGAGCCAATGGAGGGTGTGGCTGCTGAAGAGACAAGAAGAAAGATGCCTCAATGCAGTCTCAGAAATCAGAAAGACCTACTCATTACTGGCTCAAAGGTACAAAATATAAAGTATTTCATTTGGGAAGAGAGTTTCTGGGACCCCTACTTTAGAAGACTTCCTAGGGAACGAGTTCCCTTGGACTTATTTCACTGCTCAGTCACTCAATCCTCAGAGGCTGCTGGAGCCATGATCTAAGGGGATTCGGCTGCCACATCCAATGACAGCAGACCTAGTGCCATCGATGTGGTGCTGATTTTACCAGCATGCAGAACGTAAGAGTTGTGGGATCCTGGAGGCCTCTGCTCTGACTCCAAAGGAAGGCCTGGGAGGCTGGGCAGGTAGACACTGAAAGAATACAGGAACAAAGCTGAATATGCTCTGGAGACCCCAGAAATGCCAGTCGGCTGTGAGGAAAGCTACAGGCTGTGAGCGAAGCCAGCCTGAGAGCGAGCTGTGACAAGGGTTGCGATGAAAAGGCCATAGCACTGGGGGCCGCTAAAGCCCCCTGGAACTCATCTCTCACTACTATGTGTCCTGGATGCTGGCTATGGACCTACAGGAATTGCCCTATGAGTTTTGGTCTTATGCTGGTCCTGTTCCAGCCCCCCACTCCTCCCTTTCAGAATGGGGATGTTTACTCTACCGCTGCACATTGGCATTGAGTAACTTCATTTTCCCAGAGGTTCGCAGCTAGGAGTCTGCTGGGAGTCTCAGCAGAGTCTGATGTGGATTTTTGGGAAATGCTAGAACTGCTGAAACTCTGTAGCCAGGCAAGGATGGACTAACGTCCTGGAAACCATGAACCAAATTAAACCTTTCCTCCTTCAGATCATCAGCGCTGGGTATGGAGTCCCAGCAACGGGGAACCTGCTAAGAGGCAGGAACAGCCCACCCCAAGCAATGGGCAACCAAGGGTCCAGAGATGTGTAGGGAAGTTGCCAAAAGTAAAAAAGCTAGCGTAACACTGTGGATCCAGTCTGCATTTGTAGTTGGAAATTTGTCACTTGTCATGTCTACTTCAGAGCTGAGGTGAGATTTATGTGGTGTACTATGTTGAATTACTGAAAGAAAAAAGTACCAAACTACACATATCTAAGAGTTAAGGAATTTAATGTTCTAATATAACAGATACAAAAGGTAAAATGAGAAATGCATATACTGAATATGCTCTATCAGGAACAGAAGCCAGTTTATATTTTTAGTACTACTTTTCTTCCGTTTTTTTTTTTTTTTTTTTGGTCTTTTTGAGACAGGGTTTCACTTGTAGCCCAGGCTGGCCTTGAACTTACAGCAATCCTCCTGCCTCAGGCTTCCAAGGGCTGGGATTACAGGTATGCGCTATCATGCCTGGCTCCATCTTCCTCTGTATCTTAATGTTTTACCAATAACTCTGACATGTAATGGTTTTCTCATATGCTTTCACTTTTAAATATAAGGTTTTCCTAATCCTAATCTTTCTTCCAGAGTATTACTCTGACACACAAACTTATTCAAGGGGAGAAAAGCACATATTAAGGAAAACAGACATCTAGGAAAAGCAAAGGAAGATCAAATGATAACTTTCCTTTAAAAAAGGGAAAATCAGTCAGATGTGGTGGTGTACACTTGTAACCCTATAAGGGAGGAGGGGGAGGGGGAAGAGAAAGGGGAGGGGAAATGGGGGGAGGGAGAAGAGGAGAAGGAGGAGGAGGAAGAGGAGGAGAAGAAAGAGGAGGAGTTGTTTGATGACAGTCTGGACAACATAGAAAGACATTGTCTCAAAAAGAAAAAGGGAAAATCCTTGTCTTTGATGAACACATTTCATAGCAGTACAAGAGTTCAGCAAAATAAATAGGATTTAGTAAAATATAAGGTGAGCTCAGATACCTTTAAGAACTCACGGCCACAGGAAGAAAAGCTGACAAAACCAGTCCCAGACTAGGACCACCAGAGTGAGGAAAGGTTTTGGATATTGGGGCTCCTTTAGTCCTGATTGCTTTATTTCCCCAGGATTTCTCAAGAGTTAAGTTCTTTCAAAATGGCACATGTGCCTAGGAACAGGAGCCAGCTAGGAGACCTGGGCAGAGCAATTTAAACTAAGGACAGGACAGGAAAGCCAAGGAAGTGGACGGACAGGAGGCAGGTGTAGTGCAGCAGTGCTGTGTGGCTGACACAGGTCACCCTGCACAGAGGGGGAGAGGGCTGTGGCCGTGCATGCTGCCTATCTGTGTGCACAGGCCACTGCGGCCTCACAGATGTCCCCATGCTGTTGCCTTTTCAACTCTGCCATCACTTTGCAAACAGCCTCCTAATCCAGACGCTACCGAGGCCACCGAGATGTCTGCAATCGCCGAGGTTCCCAGACCTGCACAGTAAGAACTATGGATGCTGGTATGTAAATTATACCTCACATGTTTCTAAGTAGGAGAGAATCAACAGAAAGCCAAAGCAAACAGCCTGAACTGTTTTGGGGCATAAATTATAGGTGCTAACTGGGTTTGAAACTACTTAACTGGCAAGAAGAGGAGAACAGGATTGCTAAGTACCGTGACCAAAGATCACCAACTCATGCTGCTCACAGTGTGCTTATCAGCGACCTTAGCCCTGTGGTAGTCAGGAAACTTCCACGTGGCTCACGATGAGTCTGCATTTGGACCCTTTCCACAGACACTGAGGCTCCCACCCGCATGAAGGAAGCCCACAGCACCTGGCTGCATGTACACGGTAAGGGGGCCGGGCCAGGGCAGCGGCACCCCACCCACAGGGTCTCCAGAAGTCAGCTGCTGACTGGAGGGGAGCACGAAGCCTGGCTGATAAGTGAGCACCAGTGCTCCACTCGGAATCTAGCAGGCCCAGCTGCTTACGACAGCGTGGCCTGAGCTCTGGCTACTGGGTACATTCTGCAGTCCTTTTTTCAAAGACCTTATTTCTGTTCACTGTGTAACGAAGCAGATTTTAGAAAGCAAATTTCAGAAAGAGCTCCTCCAAATGACAGCATCTACAGTTCACTACAGGAGAGACCCAACCAAAAGCAGACCACTGCACTCCTGAAAAATGTCCCAAACCCTGGCTGCCATGCGCAGGGACAGGGCTGCTGACTCAGCCAGCCAGATGCTGGCTCGGCAAGATAAGCTGGCGCTGTTCCTAACTGCAACGGCACTGTACCCAACAGATTTGGGTGACGCAGCCTTTCCTATGACTTGCAAAGGCAAGGCATGTGCTGGTGCTTCTGTATGTGTTCACCTGTATTTCCCCCTCTACAGTCCCTTTACAACAGCGACTTCTGTGCATTTAGTAAGGAACTCTATGTCTTAGAAGGTTTTAACATGCTAGGCGAAAACTGCAAACTATTAGAGGTCCTTTACTTTATTCTACTATGTTAACAAAGGACACGTATCAACAAAAGTTTGGAACAAGTGTTTCTTTAAGTGTGACTCAAAAGAATTTTAGCTGCAAAAGCACTACAAAGCCTAAAGTATTTTTGCCAATTGTTCGCATTTTTAATTATTTAGTTCCAATAGGTATTCTATACTCTATCAAAATAAGAAAGGCTAATGTATTCAGTGTGGGGAAACATAAAAAGGGTATCTAAAAAGGGCATCACACATGATAGCTATGATAGTAGAAAAATATTCACACATCTAAAAATTACTATCAATTACAGGATATTATTCCAGAACTCACCAACCAGATTCCAAGACTTTTAGAACTGAGTGAATCGTGTTGCCAAGAAACAATTATCCTACGTTATTCACTAACAGAATACACTGCTATAATCTTTACAATGTTCTATTAATTTAACTGTGAAAATAAGACCTGAACAATGAACTTAGGTTAAGGTGAAATCTGCTCTCTAGGGTCTGGTGTGTAACTAGCAAGCCCCTTTTCCCCCTCCTCCCCCTTCTCCTTTGAGGACCACAGCAATGCATGACTCTCCCCAGGAGGCCAGGAGCTAAGCTGCAAACACACAAGCAGACCCAAACTCCCTCGAGTCCCCACACAGTTAAATAAAGGGTGTAGACAGGCAAGGCAGTGGCGGGTTCTCAGAACTAGCTGGGTACCAACCTCAGAGCTGGGGGGTAATGGCAAGATGGGGAGGTGCCCTGCCCACTACACCTGCTCCAGGGCAGGTCATTAACCAGCCCTCCTGTGGACTGGAAGAGAGGCACCTCTAGCTTGCCATAAATGACATCCGAGTGTCACAGCAGAAGGGCCACCGGCAAATTCTGCTAGCTGCAGAAAGGACACAAGAAAGGGGCTCCCCCACGTGCCTGTACAGTGAAGTGTGGACAAACAGTGCCCTGAGCTGCCCTCCCGCGTCCAGGCCCAAGGCCTTACCTGGACGCCTGGGCTGCCTTCTCGTCATCGGAGCTCACGGTCATGTCACGACTGCCCTCCACAGCAGGGGAGACTGCTGGCTCCTCCTTCTTACTGTCCTGCTTGCACTTCTTTCTCCTCCGCTTCTTCTTTTTCACAGCACTTGGAGCAAACACCGTCTCTGTTTCTGAGATGTGTGAAACGTCTGCGCTCTGGGGCTGTCCTCCATCTCCTCCTGATTTCCCCAAGGGGGTGTCCAGATCCTTAAAGAACTGATCTTCTGTGGGAATCGGGGAGGTGGCAAGGTATGCAGGAAGCTTTTCCTTAAAGATCACAGAGAAATCAAAGTTACTCCTGACACACACTGTGCTGATCGAAGCAGTATTTAATTCCACAGTGGAGGAGACAACACACTTCTTCCCAGGGCAGGAGGCAATCTGGAGCCCCATGACACAGCCAAGCACAGGCAGCTCTTTCTCAATACATGCCAGGGAAGAGCCACGGGCCAGTGTGTGCAGAGCACAAGAGGTGAGGACAAGCAGAGCCAGCTCAGCCCTCCGCCCAGTGGTGCCAGCAGTGGCAGTGCTGATGAGCGCTGCAGAGGACGCAGGCAGCGCCAACAGGATGAAGCAGTGACAGAGACAGGGACGCGAGGGAGGTGAGGAGCCAGGTATTGGCGCAACAGTGGGGCCAGAGAGCACGCTGCCTGCCAGCACAGAGGATGAGGGCCTTGTACAGGAGAATCAGCGAGTCCTTGTAAGAACCCTGAAGAAGACAGGGTTCAGCAGCAGTTACACTCCTGACTCAAAACAGAAGCAAGGGAGGCTGGCGTCCAGCAAGAGTGTCTCGGCCGTGTGCTTCATTGCTGTCTAATTCAATGCAGATGCACAATGAGGTAAAGATCCACATGGACCTCAAATAATTGACAGCACTTGAGTTTGTGTCCTTTTCACGTCCTGAAAATGTGTGACTTTCCCTGTATTAAGCTTCTCAATGTGGCTTTGGTGACCATGTTCCCTGATGCCTGGATTATTTACTGACACACAACCTGCATTCAGTACCAACAGAGAGAAACTGCCCAGGACATCCTGCACCCAGGGGAGAGGCTGTGGCCTCTACTTCTAGGGACTTGACAAATGATCATCTGTTACAGAAAGTTGACCTGACCTTGAAAGCTGTGTCACAGTAAGGCTTCCTTGCTTTACCATAGCAGCACCTGGGAGACGGAAAGACTGAAGGCCTACCAGGAAGGAATGGCTGCGCCAAGTGTGAACGTCCCTAACATGGAACAGTGTGTGGCAGTCAGAGAGCCAGACCTAGAACTTCTGGCTTGAAAGAGATGTAGGCAACAGTTAAATGAGGAGAGTCTGAAGAAAAAAAAACCTAAGTCAATGGCAGTCACATGAACAAATTTTGGTGTTTTTATTCTTCTTTATGTCAGAAACTCCTAGGAAGCAGGGGTCATATTTCATTCCTAATGTGTGGCATAAAAGTAATTCGTGTTTCTTGGGTCAATAGGTTTTTCATTTTAAAGGTTTCTCATCTCCTCACCTCCTTTTTAAAAAATAGGATTATTTTATGTTTATCCTAAGACCCTTTGCAACAGCTCAGCTCAACATAAAACTGGAGCCCATCTAACATGGAACCATCATTTACACAACCAAGTACAAGTCCGCTGACCATTCCTGTGTCACAACATGTGCTGGAGGCCCGGAACAGCACGTAGAGAGGCTGGGACCTGGAGAACTTACATATTCCTCTTCTGTCTCCTCCACAAAGAATGCTTCTCCATTGTCACCCAATTTCATGTGAAGATCCACTGCGATGCCATTGATTTCTATGTCAATCTAAGGGGTGAAACAAAGTGTTGACTTAGTGTGCAAAGAACCTTTTGTTCTAGCTAGCCAAGCCTGACCTCTGGTTCTCAAGCCAAACCTTGCACTGAATTTTCTACAGCCTAACTCCAAGACATAGCCATGGCCTGACACCCCATCCCAAAACACAACAGGTCGGGGAAGGGGGTGGTGGATGAGCTGCAGTCCAAAGAAATGTTTCACCGCTGATCTTTACCACATGCAGAATACACAACTGTTTATTTCCCGAATGCTGTGAAACAGACATGCACTGCCAGCCATCTGTGTGTGGCGCATGTGTCCCAAGGCCCAGCACAGGAGGCATCCCAGCATTCTGACGTGCTCTGCCTTAGTGACCTCGGTGTGTCTACGAGAGCTGTGCCACATTCCTGCCAGCCTGTAGACTCACAGATCACGGTCATTAACATACCGCGGTCTGTGAGCAACCACTGCCCTTGCTGACAGTCTGCCAGGGGCCAGCCCCCAGGCAGCTGGCACCAGGTGGGGCAGACAGCGAGGCCTCCCAGAGATGAACCCATGCGACATTTTATACAATGCATGATTGGAAGAGGAACTGGTCAAGATGAAAGTGCAGCTAGGAAATGCAAATCAATAATGTTAGATGCACAATTCAGATCAAACCTAACAGTTATACAGAAGGCGCTCCTTGTGGACACCGAGACCTGGCCGCTGGCTGCAGTGCAGCCACGAGCTCGTGTTATATCTTCAGACTCACTGAGATGCATCTAAAGACAAACTGCACGGCAGTGAGTAAATGCTTCCTAAGAACAGAATGTAGCCCAGCAATCTGGGAGCTATTTCATGTGTTCTGCAGAACCAAGAAAATCAGTAGACACACTGCAGATAACCAGAACCAGGGTTCCCACTGTCAGAGCATGAAGTTCCAAATAAGGAAAAGGTGAAATAAGAGCTCGTGAGGATGAACTAAAACAGGGGGACTCCATGAGCTCCTGCTGCTCACAGAATGACAGGGAGCAGCCTATACGCACACCCAGGCATGTGAGACACACACCTGTACATGTGCACAACACATGGGATGCACACCCCCATTTATGTAAGCAGGCACAGGCATACATTTCTTGTTCTGAGGCTGAGAGCCTCAAGCAACAACAGCTCAGCAGCAAGGACCACACCCTGTGGCCAGATCTTCACTCTGAATGGGATGCCTCAGCCTAAGGAACCAAGGTCCTTTGGAGAGGCAAAGTAATTCCAGGCTCAGGCAGACAAAGCAGATTCTACTGGACTTCCCACAGTGCCAGAAGGAAGCAAGGGCCCCAAAGCTGATGCAAGCATTTCCAAATGCCCTCAACTTGAAGAAGCCACATAAATAATTATAATTATGTATAGGGAAAACTCATTATCCATGAGTTCATATTGATATAAATAACTGAAATAAGTAAATAAGAGAGTGGGTGGCTTTTCATCACAGAATTACAGTTAAGAAACACAGCGGGAATGATGGAAATAAAAATAATCACGGTCAGGCACACACTGGCACAGTAATCTTAATGAACAGCAAGCTGACCCTTCCCCAGGTGAGTCTGTATGGAGAAGCCGAGCTGGCACCATGAGCCCAGTGACCAAAGCAGGCAGCAGCAGCATGGAGACAGTGATGGTGGCACAGACAGCGTCAAAGTGCCTCTTGCCCCAGAGCAAGTGACGACAAACTCAAGGGAGACAGCCTCCACACTAACTGTTCTGCTTGCCTTGGCAGCCTGCGTCGCAGGGAAAGAAAGGTTGAGGACAAGCAGGGTGACAGCAGCAGGACATAGCCTTCACAGAAAGCAGGCACCATGGAAGCCTGGGGACATGTGGATCGGGTCTCTGCGAACAGCACTGTGCCAGTGCTTATCTCTGGCCTTTGGTAATGGTGCAGGGGTCATATAAACGGTAACAGTAAGGAGGAAGTGAGGTGAGAGAAACTTCTTAAGCTTCACGTGCAACTTTCTGTAAGGAAAAATCAAAGCCAAGGAACTGACACAGGTTGGAGGAGTCTAAAGGGACCGGGACAGTGAAATGTTCCTTATCATGATTATGGTGGTGGCACCAGTAAGTTGGCTGTGGTTGGGTACAAACAAGTGTTAAAACTCACTGAGCTGTGTGTTCTTCAAATACATGCAGTTTATTATGATGTTAACTATAAAACACTACATTCAAAACAAAATGGAAATGGGTAATATAGAATACTGAATGAAGAAATCTTATGTAATTTAAGAAACATTAATAAAACGATTGTTTTATACAAATTACATTTTTCTTGTACCATTTTTTTTGGGAACCAGGGATTGAACTTAGGCCCTTGCGCTTGCCAGGCAAGTGCTTATTTTTCTGAGTCATCTCGCTGGCCTCCCTTTTATTTTTATTTATTTATTTTTTTGGCCGAACTGGGTATTGAACTCAGGCCCTTTCTTGTACCTTTTAAAAGAAATGTATGCATAAGTCATTTTTAGGGCACAAACGTGAACTCCATCCCATTTCCCATCAGCACTCCTGGTGTTTCCTGTGACTAAGAAGTCTGACCAGGAGGAAACTGCAGCCAGAAGCTGCTGCGAGGGAGCCGAGGCCCAGAGCTCTGGAGCAGCCACGACCCCAGCTCTGGCCTTCGTTCCTGATGGTGCTCCTTAGTGTGGGCAGGCAGGAGCTGGGTAGCAGTTAGGGCTGACACACTGGGCGGTTTCACTCTGATGAATTATCAAGTCATCAGTTTTGTGATCAGGCAACAAAATGGGTAAAGTATCAAGGCCAAGTCTACTTTCTTGAATGAACTCCTGGGTGACCAGATACAGTGGAAGCACTGCACCTATCAGACAAGCACACAGTGTGTCTGTGGCACTATCATTGTGCCACATTGTCAAACCCCAACTTAGAGGTCAGAATTTCATGTCCACTTCATGAGTGTCACCACATTTCAAAATTTGGGGCTGTACTGTAAATTAACAGTCTTTCCTCACACAAACTGCTTAAAGAAGACAGCTAATGCAGTCTGCCAGGATAGCTGAAGACTGGCATAGTTTTGACTTCCTTTTCTTTTTGTTTGAGACTGGGTCTCACTGTGTAGCCCAGCTTGGACATGAGCTCGTACTGATTCTCCTGCCTCAGCCTTCTGAGTGCTGGGACTACACCCAGCTATGGTTTCGGTTTTGTGTTTTTTTTTTTTCTGTGACAAAGTTCTGTATTAAGTGCTATAAAAATATACAATAAATTCTTTTAAGAAATGGAATTGCATTGAAGCTTGATGATTCCTTACAGTAAATAGATTACAATAAAACTGTAGTTGTTGGTTAAGTTCTATTAATTGTTTTTAATTCTTTTTGACTTTTTCTCCTGGTCATCTGTTAGCCGTTCTGCAGGTCGCTTCTTCAATCCCTTCATTTTCCTAGTTTGTAGTTTGCTTAGGTCTTGTTTCTGCATATGAATCCTTCCATAAGTTGTACCAAAAGTATCCTGAGACATATTTTTCTTCTTCTTTGGCTTGAGAGCTTTTGGCATTTTCATAGATAACTTATAAAGGTCATCTGAAGCCAGGTGTGTCCTCCTCAGAACCAGGTCCAACGAAGGTCCCATCTCTTCCAACTCAATTTGTGGCATTCTACAACCAGATTTCTTCAAGAGCAACTTATAACTGCGAAAATAAACCTTCCCCTTCAGAGCAGTGAAGTGTAGAACATACTCTAATCCAGCCAGGCAGATATTTGCCACCGTGGGGCCTCTGAAGAAATCAATAAGAAGGCTTTTCAGCCTTCTGTAGTCTTCTGTCACATCAAAATCATCACCAGCAAATATTAACATGGGTTTTGCCCTCAGGACATTTACTGTTCTTTATATCTTTTAGAGACACAAATTTCTCAATACCTAACTCAATCATATCCAGTACGTGGTAGTCATACATACGACCAATTACTAGGTTATTGGGTCGCTTCTTATTATGTGATCCAAACATGAATAAAGAATAATCTGACTTCTTTGAAAAGAATTCCAGTGATGTCTGATCTTCAAATGGTCTTGTAATATTTTTCTTTTTATACAGAACTCCATATGGTTTTTTCAGTGCATACACGTCTTTCAGGACTTGGGTCACTGTTGCATTTGCATTTCCCCTTTAATCAGCATGGCATTTTTAATATTTTCACTAAGTTTTGGTTCCCTCTTCTCAAGGAATCTCTTAGCTCTTTTTGTTTTGGGCTTTACAACTCGGTCCAAGGCGTCCATCGCTACCACAGCTCAGCCCAGCCAATACACGTGCACTGCGCGGATGCATCTATGGTTTCGGTTTTAATGTCATAGAAAAGCTGGGTTGCAGTCTACCGAAAGGCCACACCCCTTCCCAAATACCCTTTGGGTTTCTAAGATAGCAAGGGAGGGAATGGGAAAAATGTTTTCTCTCTTTTTGTCTCCTGGATCATATTCCTCCTACAATTCAAGGGTCTGACAGGACAATGAACACAGCCGCCCGCGGCCTTGTGCAGAATGCTGCTGCGGGCTCAGCGGCACACGCATTCGCTGGGCTCCACGCACCACCCTGGGATCTGTCCTGGAAGGGCAGAGACTGCTCCAACCTGCTGGGACACTCAGCTCACCAGGGGAAAAGGAGGAAGCCTCCAAAGCAGTTTATGTGCCAGAAGGGGACACCTTATGGCCTAGAGCAACGGCGTGACTGACCCTCGATGGCTCAGTCTGAAAGCTGCTCCTGTCTGAAGGGAAGGGCCCCACTGCCAGCGGCACTGCTTCCCAGCAGATACTTCCCAAGCTGCCCAGCTGCCAAGCTCTTGCTCTCTAAAGGGCCGGTCCCTGCCATTCTGAAACATGGTCCTGCTGTCCTGAGCAACTTCGTAAGGTCCGAAGAAAATGAGGTGCTATTCCAGGAGGAAAAAGAAAAAATCCAGTTTTGTTTTGTTTTTTTCTGTATTTAGGACAGGGTCTACAGGTCTCACTACGTAAAACAGACTTGTAGTGATCTTCCTGTGTTCAGCTTCCAAGTGCTGGGATTACAGGCCTGTGCCACCACGCCCAGTCTCAATCGCTGTCTCAGCGCGCCCCGCGGGCGAGGCCCACATGGCACACCAGGGATCAAACCCCAGCCGCTGCGCTCTGCCTAAGCAGGCATGTTAGTCCGCTGAGCTATCAGGCCGGCCCTAAGATCCGGTTTTATAAGACCCATTTTCTTTCATTCTCCAAGTAACATAAGTTAACTAGAAGGGAAGTTATACTTAAAGCATACTATCAGCTGCATAAAATAACAAAAGCAGAAAATAGATGTTCACGCTCAGATCCATGCTGGAAGGTGAGGCTATGTGTCTCTGCTTTATAGCCAGGGCAGAGCCTACCCACCCCACTGTGGTTAGGCCTGCAGGGTGAGAGGAGGAAGGGAATTGTGTGCAACCAGAGTTTTAAGCCAACTCAGATTTTAGGCTTGGTTAATATCTGGTACTGGTAGACTTTTGCATTGCTCTAAAGGTTGAGGGAAAGGGACGTACAAAAGAGAAATGCCGACACAAACACCTTCTTCCAAGGGACCTCTAAATTTAACGTATGGAAGTCCCATAGCCTGTGGCTCTGGGAGCCAGCATCCTGTCAGACTAGGCACAGGCCCAGGGACCAACCAGCAGATTTAGACTACAAAGGTGCTCCAGGTTCCATTTACACAAGTCACAAGACATCCCCAAGTCATCTACCTGTCGCATCCACAATCAGTAGGAAGCAGTTTGCTTTTTCTGCCCCATTCTTCCTCCCTCCCTCTTTGCTCTTGCCTATCTGAGCTGGAACATGCAGGGGCAGGGGATGGGAATTTTCTTCTGTTTTTTCCCTTGGGGCACCTTCCTGCAGCAAAGCCTTTGGGCCTTAGAGGTGGCTTCCAGAGCCACACCCAGGTGCTGCCTCTCAGCCTGCCTGGGATGTGTCCCCACTTACCACTTTCTCCTTGGAGCGCAGCACACCCAGCTTCCCGAAGCGCACGTGGAAGGGTGAGCATTGGAAGGAGCCATCCTGCTGCCGCACCACCACGACATCGATGCACCCAGACAGGGTGGCTTGGTTGATGCCTTTGTACAGCTCCTTCACGGTGACGAGCACCTGTCCAGCCAGCTGGCCCACATAATTCATGGTTTGGGACTGTAAGAAGAAAACCAGAAGAGATGTAAAGAGTGAAGTTGTAGATCTGAGGACACTGACACAGAGTATCACTGGTGCCTAAAACTCCTGTGCAGTGCGGTTTTCTGTCACTGCCAACCTTGCTGATGTGCAGCCCAGCGGTCCCCGGCACCGCAGTCTTCACAGGGTCCACAGGGACAATCCCTCCCCTGAGGTCCCAGCCTGCTCAAGGCACACAAGCTTCCCTTCCTTTCCAGCCAAGACTGTCAGAGCCTCAGGCTACTGTGAGCATGCACAATGCAAAGGAGATCACCGGAAGCTGGAAAGTCACCCAGCCACAAGGCAGAGACAGCAGCGGTGCTGGAGCAGCAGCACATCTCTCAGCTCAGGTACAGGCTGCACTGAACAGTGTGCAGCCAGCATGGTCTTACTCATTCACATTTCTGGAGGAAAAGTCCTGTCTGTGCCTCAACTCTCTGGGACATATATTTGTGCTCCACAGGGGTTAAGCACAGGAAAGGGGTGAAGTCATTTTTGAGGCAAGGGTTCCTTGGCCGAGACTTACTGGTCAATCAAGATGGCCAGAGGCCTAGGGTCTTCCAGAAACGATTGGAGGAGGGGAGCTGCAGCTATGTCTGTCCTGACCCCAATTCTTCTGCAGAGAAAATCAAAACCAAGCCAGACCCTGTAAGTCCAGAGGTCATCAGGTTTCATGCCCAGCTATTGAGCACACCCACAATTTCACTCATTAGACACTGGAGGCCCCAGTGGTATGTCAGTGAGAACGCAGGCAGAGCACTTGGGGAGCAGTGCCTCAACTAAGGTCCTCCTTGGTCAGTGGTCCAGAGCCATCCTTTCCTGAAGTGGGTTCCACAAACTCGCTTCTGCGCCCCAGCTCCGGGTCTGCCGGAGCTCAAGAGTTCCATGCCCTTCAGGGTTCTAGACAGCACGTTCTGTGTTGCCAGGGGAAAAATACCATCCCTCCACTCAGGGGTGGGGACACCTACACCACACTGCTCTCCAGAGAGGCACAGGCAGCGCCCCTCCCATTAATACTTGCAGCTCCTGTGCAGAGCTCCATGGCACTCAGCACGGCCACTGCTCTCTGGAGCAGCCCACTGCCAAGGCCTTCCAGAAGAGTGGGTTCTGCGCGCTGAGTACCAACTGGCCAACAGAGTAAGTGGTGACCTTTATGTTGCAGTCATAAACAATTAGAAGCTGGGTGCCACTGCAGTTTTAGAAGTGATTTGCAAGGCCGGATTGAGCGCATAACGAATATCTGTTATTTCTTAATAAAGGAATGATCAAATAAACCACCAATAAGAAACTTTAAAAAAAAAAAAAAGCCCACATTTGGAGAATAAATATCATTTCATCAAAATAGCCATGTAACATTTCACTGTACTTTTAAAAGTTGGCTCTTTTGCTCTATGGTTATTGCAGACTTATACCCTAAGGTGCCCCATGTGGCCTACCCAGCTTCTTGGAGCCAGAGCACAAGTGCAGCATCAGCTGGGGCAGCGAACCTACCCAGCAAAGATTCAGCATGCTGCCCTGAATGGCCTCCTGACTTTCCTCTTGCCCACTCTCCCTCGTCACCCCTGGCAACTGCTCCTCCATTCTCTGTTCCTGAAATTTTATTTATTTATTATTTATGTGTGTGTGGCCAGCTCAACCCACCAGGGGGCGGGGCTGGCTGGTATGTGGTGCTGGGGGATTGAACCGCGGTCCCTGTGCTTTGCTAAGCTTGTTCTAAGTAGGTGCTTTAGACCACTGAGCCATCTCACCAGCCCTTGTTCCTGAAATTTTAAAGAGAAAGTTAAAGATGGAATCCTGCAGCACATAGCGTTTCGAGGTTGCCTCTTTGCCTGAGCATATTTGTCTCTTGTGTTGCTTGTGGGTATCAACAGCTTGCCTGCTGCTTTTTCCTGTGGGGTAGTACTCCAGGTGTGGATGTGCCACTGTGTGTTGAACGATTCACTGGGTGAGGAGCAGCTAAGCTGTGCCCAGCTCCCAGTGCCTACAAGCAAACCTGCAATTCTAGGCATCCACATACAGGTTTCTGTGCAAAAATGAGCCTGATTTCCCTGGGATGATGCCTAGGAGTGCCTGCAGGTTGCGTGGGAACTGGACACTGCCAAGCTGATTTCTACAGCTGCTCTGCCACTTTACATCACCACTAGTGACACATGAGATGGTTGGTGGGGAACATTCTGATTAGCACAAGGTGGCACGGTCACTGCTTTTTACTTTAGCCACGGTGACAGGTGGATACTGCTTTGATCTGCATTTCCCCAGTGGCCAGCGGTGCAGAACATCTTTTTGTATTTGCTGACCTGCATGTGAACATCCCCTAGCTGCAACTTCCTTTAGAGGAGAAGGGAGTGTAGTCATGTTTGTCCTTATCCCACGGTCAGTGTGGCTTTACAATGCTCTGAATGCAGCTGTACGTGTGCCCTCCTCCTGTGCTTTTGCCTGGCAGCACTGCATTTCTGGACACTCCGAAGAGCTGGCCCCCAAACTCCGGCAGCTCGTTTCCAGGACCCGACTTCTGCACATCACAGCCCATCCACTGGGCCACACTTATGCTGTCTGTCTTATGTTGCCAACCAAAGCCTGACACACTGGTGGCAGTGGTAAATGAATTTTATCACAAGATATAAAAATCATAATTATATGGGTCTTAAAACAAACCCAAAACAATAACTTTTGAGCATCTACATTCAGCCATAAACAAGTCTTATAAGCATCAATGTGTAACAAACTCACACCAACTAGAGCATAAAATACATAATTAAGTGTAACAACATCTATTCAAGATGATTTTAATTACCATAGTTAAGGGTTATGCTGCTGCACATGAAAATCTATTGTGTAGATGCTGGTTGCTAAATGTAGAAAAACACACGTTATCAAATTTCCTCCAGCAGACATAAAACAATTCTGTTCCTAGGATGAAGGCTGGAAAACAAGGATGGCTGAGTGTGGGCTGTGTCCTGGGAACAGGACTTGGGGGACAGCACTTCTTGGGGGACCACACCTGCACACGGGACGAAAGCCAGCACTACAGTGTGGCTGGATTCCAGTGGTGCGGCCTGTGAGGGCAGTCAGCAGGAGCAGAACACACATGGTCAGAGCCCTAGACTCCTCTGAGGGAGACCCTGTGAAGACGCTGGCTTTTGAAGTAAAGAGTAAAACTAGAGCAAAACAACATACACCATGAGCTGTGTTACAGTGAAAGATGAAAACAAGAACAAGAGACGGGGAGAAGGATACCAAGACCTGAGCATGATGGAGACCGGAAGGAGGCAGAAGTCACCCAGGAAGGACCAAGAACAGCAGCCAGTGGGAGCCACTGCCTGCGGCTACGGCACAGTGAAGAGGCTCTCACTAGTCCTGGCACTGAAGAGTCTATCCTCATCTCCAAACATCATCTTGCACGTGTTCGAGACAGTGCTGTTAATGGTAACTACATACGGCAATTCTTCTGGGACCTGCGCCCCCACGCTTATAAGTCACACTCGTATTCCCATCCATGTGCTGCAGCCTTACTTCCAGTGCTGCTGTCTGGAGATGGTGGGGAACATTCTGATTAGCACAAGGTGGCACGGTCACTGCTTTTTACTTTAGCCACGGTGACAGGTGGATACTGCTTTGATCTGCATTTCCCCAGTGTGCTTGGCCAAGGTATGAGGCTAGACCCTCCCACAAGGGACTCTCGTGCCTCTTCTCTCTGCCATCTCCGCTGTAAAGACACAGCAACCAGAGGCCTGCAGCCCAGGACCCTCACAGGACAGCCCCTCCACCTTGGACTTCTAGGCCAAGAAGCATGAGAAATCAGTGTCCTCTATTCAAGCCCACTACCATCTAGGACAGTGTGCTCAGCAGCTGTACCTAATCCAAGAATCTTCTTACACATCACTTGCTAGGCTCACAACTTCAGAAGTGCACAATGTGTACCCCTAATGATCTCTAAGCTTCAGAACTGCACTATAAACCTCTGTCAAAAGCTCTATCAATACCCAAGACCTTGCTCCATGAAGGCTGTCCTTAGCAGTATGGGCACCAGTAATCAAAGGTTATCGCAGGGAGTCCACTCAGCTGTTCTGGATTCCGGGAATACCATGTTGCGACCTGGGACAGAAATGCGACCACTTTTGTCAGATAACCTGCCACAGTGTGAGGGACATGCCAAGGGACAGGGCTCCTGGGTGCTCTAGGCCAGACACAATGACATTGCTACCTATGGACACAGTCCAGCTCAGGACCAGGTCCCTCCAGGACACGCAGGCTATGCTCTGGGTCTGACAAGCACCTACCAGTTTGCAAGGACTTTCTTAAGACACGCTCCATGAGATCCTCTGAAGCAGCAGACAGCTATGCCAGGCCAGCACTGCTCATCTGCCCTTTCACCTGAGGCAGAGAGGGTGCTTACTTTTGGTTACCATTCACTGGAGCCCCATTCTGCCTCCATGCAGGGTCTTCCTGCACCCTCCGTTGCTTAAGTCATCAGGCTCGAGGTCACCTGCTGTCTCTGTGGCCAAGGGAGAGGCGGGCTGAGCTCTATACTCAACAGCTCTGGCACAGAACCAGGCCCACAGAGGTGGCTTCAGGGAGCATGTCCCAGTAGCACGTGTTGCAAGGTTCCCCTCGCCCATCTCTGCGGGGCTCATGAGCATTTACAGTGAGCCCAGCAGATGCCACCAGAGTCAGAAAGAAGAAAGCAAGTTATCACGGAGGTGACATCAGGATGAACTATACCAAAAGCCAGGGTAGTGGTGTGTGCCTCCAATCCCAGCACTCTGGAAGGCTGAGGCAGGACTGCAAGCCTGAGCCTAACCTGGCTAACTCAAAAGACCCTGTCTCAGAACTGTTAAAAAAAGAAAAAGCTGGGTATGTAAGCTTACCATGAAGAACCTTGCTCAGCCTCCATAGAGAGTCTGGCTTCCTGGGAGAAGTGGCCCTCAGCCACACACTCAGGCGAACATCCTACTTTAATGCTCTGCTTTCTTTCTTTTCTC